TCAAGAATGAAATTATAAATGTACTGGCAGAGAATACATTTTTACTTTAAAAAATGTACTTTTTATAACCTCAGACTAGGAAGAACTGTCCTACCTTTGACTCAAAAACCAGAAGCCATCAGGGCAGAGTGATAAATCATGTTAAAAAAAAAAACTTGCAAAACAATAACACACCCAAGCAAAGTAAAATTTCAGATGATAAACTATTTTTAAAATGGCACACTGACTTTAAAAATGTAACCTATTTCACAAGTATCTCTATAATCCAACAGAAAATTGAGCACAAGACGCAGGTTATTTGTTGAAAAAGTAAGGCAAGTAGCCCTTAAACACATGAAAAGAAGTTCACCCTCACTCATAAGGAAAATGAAAATCAGAACTCCGAGGTACAAGGTCCTACCTATCAGACTGTCCACAGTCTAAACATGCGACGACACTCTGGCCGAGGGGAAACAAGGACTCTGATTGATAACATGCACTGTTGGCTGGAAATGCAACTGGCAACAGCCCACGCAGAGAGAAATATCACCAAGTTCCAGATACCTGATGAGCTGCCCCGGCAAAGACAGTACAGTTTTCACTTCGAAATGGTAGTAACCACAAAGAATTTCAAACATATAAACTACATAAAAATCCATGGTAATACATTTTTAAATGTATTTTTTAAATGTTATGGCTCACTTTTTAAAATTTAATTTTTTTAAACATTTTATTTCTTTTGTTTTACTTTTAGAGAAAGGGGAAGGGAAGGAGAAAAGAGGGAGAGAAACATCAATGTGTAGTTGCCTCTCATGCTCCCACTGGGGACCTGGCCTGCAAACCAGGCATGAGCCCTGACTGGGAATCGAACCGTGATTCTTTCGTTTGCAGACCTGCACTCAATCCACTGAGCTACACCAGCCAGGGCTAAACTTTATTTTTTACAGCAGTTTTAAAAAGAACTCACAGAAAACTGAGAGGTAAGTACAGAGTTCTGTATGCCGCCTGCCCCCACCCCACACATAGCCAACTCCACTACCAGCTTCTCCCACAGGAGTGGGACAATTGTTGATGAACCTGCATGAACACATCATCACTCAGAGTCCACAGTTTACATCAGGGTTCACTCTATGTGATGTGGTTCACTTTTGGAAGTTGCTTGGGTACCATCAAATCATTATTCTAAAAACAGATAAATAAAAGAATCACAATCAGGCACTTAACCTGCCTTTATCTTGCCTTTGTAATGGATGGGGCCAGCTGACATCTCTAAAGTGGGCCAACCAGATAATAAACGCCCCCTGATGCAATGCAGTCAGAAATACACAGCAGGGCCTAGAAGGCACCTATAAATAACCCAAGGATCTTGTTGAAATACAGGTTCTGATTCAGTGGGGCCAGGGACTGAACTGCTAACAAGCCCCAAGGAAGAGCCGAGCGGAAACTGCAGTCCCACACCTCACGCTAAGTGGTGAGAGTCCAGCAGTACCGATGGAGCATGCTACCTCAGGGAAATGAGCCTGATCTAAGCCTCTAGACCACCCACCAGTTTACTGGAGTAAAGAAAAAGATGACCATCCAGGGAATCCATCAGCTCAGTCCGAAATGTGGGGTATCCTATTGCACAAGTGACCCAGTTTCCCCAACAAATAAGTGGCTATGCAAAAGGTGGGAGGGGACTTAGAAATATTATCAACAGCAGTACATATTATCAATGTACAGACCTTGCTGGATCTGATTTGAGGCAACTGACTATAAAAAGATGTTTTTGACACCAGTGAAGAAATGTGAACATAAGACTCGAAACTAGCTACTAAAGAATTTCTACGCTTTTATATTATATGACATAATGGCATTGTTGTTATGTAAAATGAGTACATGAAAAAATATGATGTCTGGGGTTTGTTTTATAATATTCAAGCAAAACAAGAGAGGAGGCAACAATAAGTCATAATAATCAACAGGGTTAATGTTATTATTCCACTTTATTTGCAATTTTCTTTTAAAAGGTTTTTTACAAAACAAACAAAAATTACCGCTCTATTCAAAATTATTATTTTTGTTCATCAATTCTCAAGAAAAATCATAACTCAGAGCAAAATGGAAGAAAAACAGGCACAGACTACTTACTAGGCTACTCATCTCAGTTTTACCTCCTGTCAACCATTACTTTATCTGGTGAGATACTGAGCTTATATACAAATCACCACACCCTCATAGTGGCACAAGTCTTCAGCTTTGGAGCTTAATAGTTATCTCAGATACAAAAAAGTCCCTTGCTTTTAAATTGTAAACTTGTTACCAAAGCAATGTCTAAGTTTTACTACTCAACTCTCAGTAACTCTGAAAGAAATCTCTCTATTGCTTACTGCCCGCCTTGCTTAATGGGAGAAAAAAGTCTCCCCTCCCTGAAAGAATCCAGAAGATACAGAGTCATTCCTTGTGTTTGGTTTTCCATGTTTTCTGTTCAGTCAGCAATAGATCAGACTCGGCCCATATCAAGGATTCAACAACCACCACAAACCATAAACAATACAAATCCACCATATTACTTTATCATACTCTATAAAAATGTTGTATCGCAGAATGTTTGCTTTTATTTTGTCTTTCATCTTCCATTGGTATTCCCTGTTCTACTGCCGACACAAACCACTTTGTCTTTAATGAGGTTGTGCGAGTAAAAGGAGATGACTATAAAGCCCGCACTGGGCAGGGAGTCTAACTGGTACACAACAGAAACGGGCACTGACTGATCCAAGCAGAATGAAGGGCTGAGCGGCTCTCAGAACTTCCAAAAAAGGATGCAGAACAGTGTCAGGGAAACAGCAGGTACAGGGGAGCAGCGAGCACCAGGCAAAAACACACTACAAACACAAACTGCAGACGACCGGGGAGTTCTCCCTCCACCACTGCCTCCAGAAATTCCACTTTGCTAAGGCTGCAGCTGCTGTCCCCATCAAACACCAGATCCTCGAGGGCATACGAGTAGCTTTCCTTTGCAATCACTAGCTCCTGATGCAGTGTGACGGGCTGAACCCTGGCCAAGTTCAGAACTTAGCTGCTAGGAAGCCTGGGAAAGTGATCATCTGGGGGTTTTTGTTTTTTTCCAGTTTCTATCAGGGGCTCTGTCTACCACCCATATTCACAAAAAGGAGGAATACTCCCAACACAGAAAGAAGCTTCAGGAAGAAAAGACAACTAAAAGACCTTTATGTTTCTATATTCAAGGCTATTTGGTAGTTTGTCATAAGAATGTTCAGGAGAAAATGGAAATATTTTACAATTTCTCCAGTTACGTCTGAACTTAACACTCTACTTCATAGAACTACCCAGGCTCATATAACATTTTCACATAGTGTACCAATACCATATGCTGACAAGTCATTGTCTATAAACTACTTAACAGTGAAAGTATAAACAGACCCTGGATTCAGTATTTTCTCTTTTCTATGGTGTTCCTCAATTGGATAGCACTTCACCTAAGCGGAATTCTTGCTGTTTAGACTCTTGCCCCATCTGGTACAGCAAACAAAAAACCCCCAAAAGTCCTTGAAACTTAAACCAGATCACCAAATCTACTCTTAGCAAAAGCAAATATCTGCCCCAACAACAGAACAAAACCCAACAAGTCTTGGTTCTCTCTGAGCCCATTTGCTCCCACTTTACTTGTAGCGCTATTCAACTTCGTGACTTCTTCCAGCTGATAATATGTCAAAAGCTGGAAAGGAAGGTAAACTGGGTAGGAAGAAATGACAACAGGAAGAAGACAAAAATCTACAAAAGGCAAATAAATGTAAGAACTAAGAAAAAAGTGACAATATTCAATACAGTGACAGCAGTAATCAACAAGGCTGAATGAAGTGGCTCAACGCACGTTTCTGGAGGAAGAGGGATTTCAAGTCTCAAGAAAGCCGGCAGGGCAGGGTCAGGAAGGAGGGAAGGAGGGAGGGGGGGCCTCTCTCCAAAGGGTGGCAGCTGACGCAGCAAAGGGTGATTTGGGGCCAGAGCGCCAGCCAGCAGTAGGAAAAAACTCAGAGCGACTCGAGGCAAACCATGGAAAGTGACTTTACTCTCAGGCAATACGGAGTGAAGAGAGAGGGGTGCTTTAGGAGGGTTCTAGAAACGGAGAGACAGCGATTTCCTTTTCTGTGGAATGTATGGATTGTTTGGCATGGACAAATGTTTCTGAACTTAACTTTGATAAAAGCCACCCCCATTCCCAGGCACCCTTTAGGAGGGTGTGACAGCTGCCAATCACTGCAACCTCTGAACGTCCTCCAAGATTTGTCTAGCTTTAAATTCTGTACTTAGTGTTGTTTTTTAAAAAATTTGTTTTGAAACACGAATTGTAATATTCAATAAGCGTGTTCAAACATCTCACCTCTTTCCTAAGTTTCACTTCCATCCGCCTTGAGAGTAGTGGCGTAAGGGCGCCCTAAAGTTAAAAATGGCGGGATTTCAACAGAGCACACCAAAAAAAGGTTCCTGTGGAAATACTCCTATCGGGTGGGGTAGTCATCTCCCGACCGTCGGGGATGCCGCATAACATTCTCGTATTGCTAGGAGCGAGTGTCTCCACCTCGCAGGCCACCTCAGTCCGCGGTCCTCCAGAGGTAAGCCGCAGTTCTCCCGCTTCAAACTCGTCTTAACTTTCGGTGGCCGCCCGACCGGCTGCTAAGAGAACCCACTGCCCAGGTACCCAGAAGGACAAATCCCTTTCCGCCCGACCACCCGCCGCCTGGTCCCGCCTCCTGATTCCTCACCGGTACCACCTCCCCTACCCCGAGCCACCGCCCATTTTCCGCCTCTGGCCGCGATTAACAAGGTCAGGGATCTTGGAGACGGTTCCGAGTCACGTGGCACCACGGTCACGTGCCTGGCGGGGTCACGCGCCCGTTTCCAGGTCAAGTAGGAAGCCAGTGCTGGGCGCGGGGAAGATACCGCAGACGAAAAAGGAAGCCCCACCCCCACCCCACCCCCGCACCCGCTTACTCTCGCGAGATCTGTGAGATCACCTGACGGCGTGGGTGCGGCGCGGCTTCACGTGACGGGCGCAGCGGGCTGCGGGGGGTCTCTTTCCTGCGCTGGGCGCCACAGCGACCGGGCCTTCTGACCGTGAGATCTGCAGCTCTCACGCCTGCCCCCAGCCCGTCCTCCCAGCGCACGCCGTCAGGCAGCTTAACCACCCGACCCCGCCCGGTTCCCGCTCCGGTGGCCCCGGTGCCCATGGCGGCCCCCGGTAGCTCCCGGTGGCAGCCGCTGCTCCTGCTGTTACTCGGTGAGGGTCAGGCCGGGAGCAGGGGTCTGCAGGGCGAGGAGGGACTCCAAGCGGTCTGAGAGCTGCGCGGCGGGGCTCCGAGGCTTGGGACATCTGCGGGGAGGGTGTTTTCGGGAGTGGGGAGGACTGCTCGGGGTCCGGGGGCTACGGGATCCGAGAGAAACTGGCCGGGCTTGGGGGACTGCGGGCCTGCGAGTCGTCCCCGCACACGCCGAGGTCCGCGTGGGGTCTGACCGGAGCCTGCTGGCCGCTGACTGGGGAATCTAATCCAGTTGCTCAGAGATGGACGAGGGAGGATCCGAGCTTCTCAGCCTAGGGCCCGATTCTACCCTCGGATTACTAAAAGGGTCAGTAAACTCGTTTTCTGGAGTGTTTAGTTGAAAATTATTTGGGTGACTCGGTGGTTTTTGGAAGGTGTCTTTTGTTTCTTTAACTTACGTGCAAGTTTAGCCACGGAGGGCCAGGTGAGGCCTGAGCCGCCAGGACCTGCGTGGTCCTGCGGTGCTCCCAGCGGATGAGCCACTTTGGCGCTTCTTTTTACCAGAAGGGAACTGGGCGGCGTGGTGATCCCAGCCTTTTAGAGTTTGTCCTTGATACTTTAACCTTGGCCTGCTTTTCAGTTTGGCCTGCAGAGTGTGTGTGTATGTCACTGTGAATTTAAAATTGTGTTGGACTGACTTGGAAGTCATTTTTAAGAGTTTAGGAGGACCCACAGTGGACAAAATGAGAGGTAGGACCAGGCCTCGGCTTCTCAATGGCAGCAGTGTGTATGCATTGCTAGTGAATCCTTGTAAATAGCTGCTGCCACTGTTCTGTTTGTGCTGGTTCCTGCGAGTCGAAATGAGAGACTCCATTAACACGTTGGGAAGCGTCTGACACTCCACCAGTCATAGTAGCTGTCGGTGGGTTCTCAGTGTTTTATTGATTGAGGGATTTTGTTTTCATTTGTCCGAATAAGAAAGTGTAGTATGTGCTTTCTCTTAAAGGGGAATCGCTACATGGTTTCATTTTAAGTCTGTAGAGGCCCTCTGTAAGTCTCATTCTACTCTAAAATTCTTTTTTTTTGTGACTCCATGGATTTCAGTTTCACATTTTTGTTTTGCCTGTTGTGTAAATTAGTTGTTTGAGTTGAATGAGTAGCCACAAGTGATGACCTTATTCCAGCAGTAAACCTGAAGCCTTGCCCTTTACTGGCTGGCGTAATTAGTTACAAGAGGAGTTGCTGGAACAAGTTTTGTCGTGTTGGAGCGGCTGCTTTGTTCTTTATTAGAAGAGCTCACAAGCATTAGGACTTGAATATTTTGTTTCATGCTTTAAAAACTGCTTAAAAATGAAAAGTTCATAACTTCCCTACATTATAATCGCTTGTAGTGTTGTGCATGAAATTACCTTTCAGTGCCCGTTGCATCAAAATTTTATAGTCAGTTAAAGCCCAGCTTTTAGAAAAGGTCTGTTACCTTGAATTTGGGCCTATTTAAAATAATGTTTATTTTAATACACAGTTGCACCAAAAGCATCTTTTCTAAAAATATGACAAACTTCTAAACTACTAACATCTTTTGCATTAATAATTAGAAACCAACCTTTTGCGATTGAATACTTGGTAGAAAGCATAGGTAATCATGATCTGAAACATTTTAATGTTGATATATAAGATCCAATGTAATTACATCATTTTACCTCTTTAAACCATTGAAGTCAACTAGACGGCTTCCTTTCCGTTTCCAAACGAAGAACTGTCACTTAGGAAGTTTGAAAAGTTTTATGCTAATCTTATCATTGTTTGTGGGGGTTTGTCAGTTACCACAGGTTTGCAACCAGATTCTTATGTAGATTTGAGGTCAAAATGTTTTGGGTTCATAATTTTGAATTTATATTGTTTTATCTCAGACATTATTTCTCCCTCTGCATCCACAGAACTTGATTACGTGCTACAGTGTGTGCTTTTACTAGAGCATCGATTCAGCTGAGTTGGGATTATTTTTGCTCATGTATTTCTCTTTCCCCATCTTACAACTTGCGTCATGCTTCACACATAGGAAGTGCCCAGTACATAACATGTAGAGACATCCAGTTTTACAGTACCCTAAGTAAACATGCATAAGTCAGCTTTTTAGAAATGTACATATTTGTGCCCTGCCTCTAGAGATTGTGGTTAATTTCAAAAGCAAATGTTTCACAATTTGAAACATACTTGCCTGCTCACTAAGTGCTGGAGAGAAAGCAGGGTTCAGCCATGCCACTCACCCTGCAGCCAGCCAGCCCACGCTAACATGAGAGGGACATGCTCTGAGTCAGCAGACTTGGCTCTGTACTACTCACTAGCCGTGAGGCTTTGCATAAATTAGTTAACGTCTCTCTGCATTTGCCTATCCCTGTAGCTGTGAAGGAAAATCATAATAGTGTCTACCAGTTAATATCGTCAGGATAATTTAATTGACTACAGAGTGTTTGGAGCTGTACCTGGTATATAGCAAGTGCATTACAAGTGCTTGTTAAGTAAAATACTTGACATTTTGTGTCAGATACTGAGGATTCAATGAACTTGATAGATGAGGTCTATATGGCACTGAATGTTTAAATAATAATAGCTAACATCATAGTCAGTGCTAATGCCCTGTACTGATGCTCCACATGCAGGTGGCTCATTTGACACTCTAATGACCCTGGGGTGTCAGTCAGCACTCTCACCTCCATTTCACAGGTGCCTGAACCCAGGGTTCAGTAGTTGCTGCTGGCCTACGGTCATGCCCCTAGTAAGTAGGGGGGGGGGGTCTTATCAGAGAACCAAGATCTCTTACTCTGAAGCAGGCCTGTTTCCCATAGCTGCACTTATCTTAGGGAGTGGAATCTCTACAAGTAGGAGTATTTGAAAGGAATGAGACAAGGTTACTCCTTATATGACTCCTGGAGAAATAGCGTTTGCATGTGAGTGAAGGATGGCTAGAGATTAGCAGTTGCCAGCAGGCCAGGGAGCTGACTTGGAGAGGGACACCCCTCAAATAACTGCAGGCATTTTAACTAACTTGAGATGGGTCTCTGTCTCCCCAACAACTGCCACTATTATGGCTTTAAAAAATAAAAATAAACTTATGGCCATTAATATACATAATGTTTCAGAATTTTATGTTCTAATGCTCTTACAGACATTTTTCTCTTGACCAAAATTGGTTTCTGGGGTAAGTTTCTTATTTTAATAATTGAACATTTCTTGGCCTCTCCAGAATAAACGTGGGCATCCAGTGCTGCTAAAGCTTATTTTGTTTTTCTTCTAAAGCTTGGACCCTCAGCATATTGTACTAGCTGAAAAAGTTGCATGACTGAAAGTTACTTAATGTGAAGTGTTCCCTAGTGAAGTGCTTTCAGTCATTAGAAGGTTTTTTGATGATTCAGAGAGCTGAATCTCACCACGGCAAGCTTGGTGAGAACTGACCTGGGTATGCTCCCGTGGGAGGCAGTGACCTGCTACGCCCATGTGACCCACCCTCCAGCGGAGGGGCCAGGGCCAAGTGCAGGCATGTCAGGCTTGAGGAAGCCTGTACACAGGGCAGGCAGTGGCCCATGTACACAGTGAGTTGGGTGAATGTCCAGTGTCTCTGGCTTTGGGGACCTGTGCTGTAACACATGCTTTTTTTCCCTCTGGTACATTACCATCCTCAGAAAACACACACTTTTAAAACCTTTATAGTGTCAAAAACAAGTTACAGAGTAGTTCTCTCTAGGTGTTTTTAATGAAATATTCTAATTATAGAAAGTGCTTTTAGTAATCTTGCCCAAGTATTCCAGAGGTGGGTTAAAATTTTGCAAATCAAAACAGACCAAAAAAATTGCATAGGTTTTCTTGTTTGCCATAGTTGGTTTCATTTTGGTGTAGCAACTTTTTCTTATGCACATCAATTCTGGTATTACCTTTACCAGAGGCTTATGGGAAGAAAACATGTGAGGTTCGTGACTGTACTCTTTGCTTTTTAGGCTTGAGTTGTTGGCTCTGGAGATTTTCTTTTGTGAAAGCGTGAAGGGTAAAATAAATTGGTTTCATTAGAGACATTTACCTTGCCAGGGACAAGGGAGAAGTTAATTGAGTGTCCTCTGAGTGTTGCCTTCAGAGTGTGCCTGAGTCGTAGCTACACTTAGAGTGAGAGTGATCAGAGCCAGATGTGGAAATGCTTGGTGAAGGCTGCACGCAGCAGCCTGGCCACAGCAAGGCTTGCAGCAGTGGAGAAGCCGGGGGAGGGCACGCTATTTCTGAACACACGCTGTACACTTCTCTGCCATAGTGATCAGATTATGTTTGCTCCTAAACTGCTTGATACCACAATGGGGGGCTATAAAGAAGTCAGAGATGGCACTGGCCCTGAGAACTTAAAAAGGAAATCTTTAGCAGTGACAACTCTCAGGCGAGAAGGACCTGTGAGAGCTGCATGCTGTCCTGTGCCCCTGACATATGGAGGCCCTGCCTGGACAGATTGATGTCCTAAGGTCACAAAGCCAAGTCTAGGTTTAACTGAATTACTGGTTTTCAAGGACCTTTCTAAGGCAAAACCTTAGATCTTTGAACCCATGACTCGCTGACCATTGAGGCACACCACCAGTCCATGAGAGGTAAAAATAAATCTTACTTTAAATAGCAGTTTAGGTCCACAGTGAAAGAATCCATACTGTGCAGTTCTCTAGGGAGTCAGTGTAGAGGCTGATAGTGCCTCCAGAACCCCATGGAATCTCTTGAGGAATGAGTGTAGAGCACCTGTGCCTGGGGGTGACCCAGAAATTAACATGTGACTTCTGATAAGTATTACGAAGTAAAATCCATTATTGCTACAGTTGAAGACCACAGAAATACCCAAGGTATTTTCAAAAGGCGTTTGGTAATGTTTGTCTTTCCTGGAGTCAGCAGGCCTCATGCACGGTGCATCAGCAGTGTTTGAGGTGAAAGATGGCAACGGTACCGCTTGTATAATGGCCAACTTCTCTGCTGCCTTCTTGACCAACTATGTTACCAACAGTGGCTCTAAGGTAGGAAACCCTACATTGAGTATGTGTGTACATGTGTGTATGTTCACGCACATGAGAAACAAAATTATTTAAAACAGTTCAAGTAACTGTTTGAAAAATTATCCCACCTTAACACAATTCTCATTCAATATATGTGCCTTCTCGGCCTGTGCTGTTTTATATATTGAACTTGCAGTCATAATACGCAAACCATTTTGTGCTCTGCCTTCATTCTTTTACTATGAGCTTTTTTTTTTGTTTTTTTCAGTTTTCCTTATGATTATTTTTTGTAATATTATGTTAGTCAACCTAATTTGTTAATCCACCCTTCTATTGGTAGTTAAGTGTTTTTATATTCTTTTTTCATGCCCCGTATATAGCTCTGTGAATATAACTTTGTTGATCTGTTGAATTTGCTTTATATAAACTATTACATTCCAAGAATTATATATATATATATATATATATATATATATATATATATAGTTGATGTGCAGTGCTTAAGTACTGTACTAGTTTGATAAAATGTGTCTTAGTTTTGTTAAAACAGCTCTGTACTTATAAAGGGTGAGTAAGGCTTTTGCAGTTCCTAGATTTTTCCCCCTAAGATTTCATTTATTTTCAGAGAGAGGGGGAAGGGACGGAGAGAAAGATTGACATGAGGGAAACAGCAGTCGGTTGCCTCTTGCACGCCCTCACCCAGGGATCTGGCCTTTAACCCAAGCATGAAGGAATCAAACTGGTAATCTTTCAGTTTGCAGGCCGGCTTTCAGTCCACTGAGCCACACCAACCAGGGTACATTTTCTAGATTTCTAACTAATAAGTTGCATTTGTTTGTATGTCTGTCTTCATCAATCGCCTATTACCTATAGTTCTATTTAACGTGTACTCTTTTAAATATATCCCTAATTCAAACCTTATTTTCAAGTTCTTGTTGAAACCACCATTTTTCTTTATCTTTCTTTCGATAGTGCCGTATCTTTTTACTGCCACTCCGAGGGTAGCAGTGGGCCCAGGGTTGCCAGGAAGATCAGCAGTTTCTTTGGAGCGCTCTGGACTTTGTGCCAGTGCTTGGCCTCATCAGTTGATTTGTACTGGTCTGGATACAAATGTGGTCTCTGTGAAAATAGAATAAAACTGGGAGGGTTTTGTTCTATAGAAATGTCTCAAATTCTAAATACTTGTCCAAGCACTTTTATTTTAATTTCTATTCACTTTTTTTGTGCTTGGATTTTTCAAATATTAATTCATCTTAATTGTTACACAAATGGAATCATCCATATGCTGTTGTGTGTCTTACTTTTCCACAAAGCATGTCTCTCTCACCTCCTGTAGTTTTTGTTTTTGTTTTTTTTCCATTTTCTTAGGACAGCATTAGTATACAGCTTAGCCATAGTTCCTTCATCAGTCCAGTTCATTTTGATGGACATTAAAGTTGTTTTCTGGTTGCTTGTTTTGCATATAATAGTAGGTTGAAACAATCTTGCATAAACACCTTTTCTTTGTTTAAAGAGACATTCTTTAGCCCTGGCTGGTACGGCTCAGTTGATTGAGTGCTAGCCTGTAAGTCAAGAGGTCACCAGTTCAATTCCCAGTTAGGTGCACATGCCTAGGTTGTCGGTCAGGTCCCTATTTGGGGCCATGAAAGAAGCAACAGATCGATGTTTTTCCCCCTCTCTCTCCTCTCTCTCTTCCCCTCTCTCTAAAAATAAAATCTTTAAAAAAGAGAAGCATAATTCTTTAAGCAAACAATTCTATAGCAAACAAGTGGTAATTGTCTTTTTCAAATAAAAATACACACTATATCCTAAGCCCAATATGAATTATCTGAGTTTACCAAGATAACCAGTTTTAATTCTGTTCTGTTGTAAATTAAAATTATATTAATGAAGAAGAGTTTGTAATTACATGAAGAATTAAGTCAACTTTGTCTCACACTTGAATTACTTTCTGTTACTGACATGAAGGTAATGCTGACTTTCTTTGTAGTGTTTGTTTATGTTAAAAGAACCTTAACGGTGACATCCGAGATGGAACCGAGGACCTGAGTTTATATCAGACTCACAAAAGATCTTTTTTTAGTGTTTCTGAATCCCCTTAATAACCTACATTCTAATTTGGTTCTGCCATCATTGTGTTTGTTCTAGAATGTGACCTTCGACCTGCCATCTGATGCAGGAGTATTAAATAGCAGCTCCTGTGGTAAAGAGAACGTGTCTAACCCCAGTCTCGTGATTGCTTTTGGAAAAGGACATAAACTGACCCTCAATTTCACAAGAAATGCAACACGCTACAGTGTCCACAAGATGAGTTTTGTTTATAACTTGTCAGACACAGAGATTTTCCCTAATGCAAGCTCCAAGGGTAAGAACAAAAACTGACCAATTAATGAAGTGAAGAAAATTGGGTTGGGGTTGTGTCTAGAAATGCTTTTAACTAAGTGCTTCTGGGTATTTAAATTTTAATTCTTTTTTAAATATAGAAATCAAGACTGCAGAATCGATAACTGACATCATGGCAGACATAAATAAAAAATACAGATGTATGAGCAGCAACCAGATCCACATGAAGAATGTTACTATCACGTTCAGTGATACCATCATCCAGGCATACCTGTCAAACAATAGCTTCAGCAAGGAAGGTAAGACTGCTCTTGGCCCTGATGCCGATAGTCGACTCCACCCACTGCTGAAGCAGCTTTGTGCCCTGGTGCCTGAGGTAGTTGTGTGTGAATGAGCACTTGCATAGCTGGGGCAGGGCAAGCAAGCTTGTGTCTTAGGAAAGCTGTCCACCAAACCATTTCTTTTGTCTTTAGAAATGATCTCTTTAAATTAGGATGACAAATATTTATTTAAAAAGGTAAAAGGGCAAAGCAATCGAAGCCTTCTCTGTGTCTTCCCTTGGTAGAGCTAACAGGATCCAGGGTCACAGGACCTCTTCCCATTCGAGCCAGCTGTCTTTACAAAGAGACCTAGTCTTACCTTGGTCCAGCACAGAGAGACCCAGGGGCAGGTGGGGGAAGGACCAGGAGTGCCTTTCTGGGATCGTGACACTACAACTACCACTACCGCCCGGATGCACTTGCCTGCTCATGGCCTTGATCACCATGAGCTGATCAACCTCTCATGTCCTTCACTTGTAAAATAAGGATAATAACCTGTCCCAGAAGATGGTTAGGATTAAAGAGAAGACTTACATGAAGAGCTTATTTCAGTGCCTGGCACAGAGAAAGTAATAAATAGGGCTGGCATTTTACTGTGACTTCAAAAAATTCTCTCCCCAAATTCTCCACTTCCCCAAGGCAGGAGGGTGTGTTAAGGACAGCACCTCCTTCTGGTCGGTTTGTTGAATGTATTGAGGCGACACTGATTAATAAAATTATACAGTTTTCAGGTGTACAGTTCTACAGTATATCATCTGTATATCGTGTTGTGTGTTCTCCACCTAAGTCTCCTCCTATCACCATTTATCCCCTCTTTACCCTCTTCTCCCTCCCCCCACCTCCCCTTCCCTGCCGATAACCATACTGTTACTGCCTGTCTTAAGAGGTTTGTTTTGTTTCCACTTAATCCCCTCACCTTTGCTGCAGCCCCCCAAGTCTCCTTCTGGTCTCTACACCTGCCACTGCCGATAGGCCTTTGATTAGAATTGTCCCCCAGGAGTCTTGCTTGAAGGATCAGGGTGACTGTTGGAGAGCTGCTGGTTTGTGCCTTCACCAGAGCTCGTGGGCAGGATGGACAGCCCTTTGTGCCGCTCATTACAGTCTTCAAGTGGGGGCGCTCTTCGCAGGGCTGGCAGGGCTGGCACACTGGCATGCCGGCCCGGCCAGCCTGCCTCTGGGTTCTATATGGCTGGGAAGCTGAGAATGGTTTTTTGTGCTTATAAATTTAAGGTTAAAATAGAAAATCAAAAGAGAATTTTCATGACACATGAAATTCTTTGAATTCAAGTTTCAGTCCCTGTAACTAAAATGTTGCTAGAACCCGCCACCCATGACCATTCACTCACCTGTTTCTGTGGCTGCTTTCATGTTCGTGGTGGCAGATCTGAATTGGGACAGGCACCCAACAGCCACAGTCTAAAATGTTTAGTTTCTGGCCCCTTAAGAGAAAATTAGCTGACTCCTGATGTCATGGGAAGAGTGTTAGCAACCCAGCTAGGACTAACAGAAGCCAAGTGTAGCTGAGAGAAATACAAGCAGTCACAAATGCACAGGGCTTAAAAGGTGGAGGTCAGCGTGAGCTGGGACAGCAGGGATTCTGAAGGACAAGGGCTCAACTTTCCCACTGTGCAGCCTCTTCTCGGACGGGCCTGGAGGGCTGGGTGAGTGTGCATTCTCACCAGGAAGGGCTGATGGAACGGGAGGACTTTTCCCCTCAGGCTGGTGTGAGCAGTGTTGGAGAGCAGCAGGTACACTTCCTCCGGCACAGAGAAGGTGACTTGTCACACAGCTGCTAACCTAGTGGGGGTTGGGTCAGGGGGCTAAATAGTTCAAGTTGTTTGTATTCACAATTACAAATCTCCCAACTACCTGAGTTTCGTAATGAACTGAATACATCTGGATTGCATCGGTTGTCTGGCTCAGGTCTCAAGAGCAGAAAAATAAAGAGAAAACTGTCCAAAGGTCTTAGGAAATGTTGGTGTCCCTGGGTTATGGCTCATTGCACTGACTTCACTATAACTGGGCCTGAACGTGGTCCTTCGTAAATACAGCTCCTCACTTTTACAACTTGTTTCCTTTTGCTTTGAAGGCTTCTGAACACTCTCTTGAGAGCTGCTCCTACCCCACCTCACACACCATGATTTCTTGCTTCACACACTGTTTTATGGGATTTGGTCCTCTGGCGGTCCGGATCCTCGGGACTGGCAGGCAGCTGCTCAGGGTGGAGGCGCTGGGGAGAAGTCCAGGCCTCTGGATCTCAAGTATGGGTTAATACTCCATAAGGAAGGGTTTCACCGTACCGCAACATAGTAATTGATGACATGACCTGCGTCCTTTTTTAAAAAAATGTTCCCGTTACAGTTGACATACAGTATTGGTGTACAACATAGTGGTTATACATTTTATATCCTTATGCAATGGATCTGAATTGTTTTTAAAGCTCAGCTGCTAGCATGTTCCACAGTTACTGAGCTTGTCATGAACCCGACTCAGAGTCTGGCCCTCAGGGAGCCTCCCGGGTGGCATGTCATCACACCACTTTGTGTCTGTTCTCAGTGTCTTACTGGGTGTTTTTTATTTGTTTTGTTTTGTTTTTTTACAATGGTTGGTATTAATGTTACTTTGCAGTCAAAGGGACCGGTACTTTCCCTAGAAGTGGGAGGCTTGATGTTACTGGCCTCATACACTACCGTGATGGCACGAATCACTGAAAAATACTTGATTTCTATTCAAACGGAGCCATATGTCTTTTGTTTAATCTCCTTCTGCCAATTTCATTTCTTTGATTCTTAAGTACCTTTTAAATATTTTCCTTGTCAACCTAAATTGAAAGCTGCTTCAGGGAAAAGATTCCCATATCAAATATGTTAAGTATATTTTTATGTCCCCCTACCCTACCCTGTTCTCATGAATCCTTAATAAATTGTTGAATTGATGTATTTGCAGTAAGTCAGTAAATGTTTGGTCATAAAAGCCTGTTCAAAGTTTTTGTTTGTTGGACTAACCTGTTCAGGGTATTAAAGTAGGCTCCTGTGGTCTTACTTAACAGTAATACAGTAGCTGTCTCGACCAGAAAGCCCTTGTTCATTTTGCCTTCACGTATGTATCATCTTACCTAAGAAAACTAAAGTACTTAGAGATTTTATTTTAAAGGGAAATAAATAAAAGCCAAGGCTGCATTGACTTTCCCGTCAGTTTTGCTGATGAGGATAAGTTCTGAAGAAAACAGATACCTTCTTTCCCAAAGGTCTGTAAAAGTAGGGTAGATGATTATCATTCTGGAATGGTCTGAGTGTAGGTGAGCCCCGCCTGGGAAAACCAGATGAGTGAGCCTCACTGTTCATCAGAACTGGATTTCCGGACCCAGGCCCATGCTGGGTTAGTGGGTTTGGGGTGAAGCCCCTGCAGGTATCTGGTTTTAATGGCTCACCAGAGGATTTGGATTTATTCATCTTTTTCTATTTAAAATTTGACATGTCAGTGTGTCCTTGTGTGGTACTTGTCAGTCAGCTCCTTTATGGCCCATTAGAAGTTCAAAACAGAAACCACTTCTAAATATAGTTCATAAATTTTACTTCCTACCCAATTTGGCCGTATTTCTTTTTTATTCCTTAGGAACCAGGGTCTCACTTCTAGTCTAGTTTAAATTGAAGAAATTGATGCCAAAGCATTTCTTTCTATTTGAGACTCCTTAACTGCAACATTCAGGTTTATTTGAATATCTGCTGCTGCCTAGAGACCCTTCGGGGCCTCGAGCATATACTAGCTTTAGGAAGTGGTGAGAAGAGCATCTGGAAGGACGCACAGCCCTGCCCCTCCTCTCCTTGTTTCCTTTGTGGGGAAAACTGAGGGAGACCCAGGAGCAACCTTTGGATCTGCTAGTCTTTCCAGGGGCCTTCCCACAGGTGGCCCTGAATGTACTTCAGTGCCTTGTTTTTGTGATGATCTCCTTGTAGATTGTGAGCCTTCTGCAGGAAGGACTGTGGTATTGGACTTGAGAGTGGGGTTGGCATTTATAAATCAGATTGAAGGAAGAGGACATTTTATTCAAAGAGATCTCCAAAGTCTTTGTTATTCCTGTTTCAAGCTGATACTTTGTAGCCCACTGTGAGGAAGTAATGAATGATGGTCAAATTAGTGTAGGTTATTTTCCCCCACGTATGTCATATAGCCACCTAGTCCAGAATCTGGAGACCGGTCTGCCCTCTTTTGTTTTGATGTGTTTTTAATTATGTTCTGTAACAGTTTTTCAATGATGAAGCTCTTTTTAAAAGTGCAACTGAAAACATCAGCCTGTAGCCTAGTTTGAGGTAAGAGCCGATGGTGTTGGCCAGCACACCCCAGGTCGGAACATCTGCAGCAGTGTTTGCCCCGCCACAGTTAGCCCAAGTTTACATCCACTTTGGAAGGTATTTTCCCCCATCTTCACCCTCCATCTAGAAAGGCATTTTACTTTACAAGGTCACATTATGAGAAGGCATCCTGAGTGAATTGAACCTCCCAGAGAGTGTTAACTTTTCCCCTGTGTTAGTTTCATGGGGTGAAGTTCCCATCTCTTCTCCCCCAAGTAGATGGGATGTGGAGGTGAAATGGGCAACTGGAAGAGAGTTGCATGGAAGTTTCATTTTAGCTTAGAGTAAGTGGAAACGGGTGGTGGGTAAAGTTGCACAAACTCCTGCCTGGCTCCCCACACTGAGTATTTGAGCCAGCTTGCCTTGGCTTTGCCTAGCAAAATTATGGGAAGCATTGGAATTGGATGGAAATTGTATGAATATTATTTTAAACTTCTCGATAGTTCACAGAAACAAGGGGGTAAAAGAAAGAACCTAATATGGGGGTTTGTGGTATTCTAGAAGTGTTGCGTATCTTGGTGTTTTAAAACATTAAGTAATCTGTAACCTTCATAGAAGGCATCCCTGTATCCTGTATACTCCTGTAGAAAAATTTTATTCTACTTTGGGTTCCATTTGCCTTGATTTTGAATATACATTTTTGCTGTAAACAATCATGGTGGGTCAAATTCTGAGGGACGGAATCAACATTCAAAATCCTCAGTATGTCCCCTGGGGGAACAATGTGACCTCTCCCCACAGACACCACCCCCAAAAATCTGACCTTTCCTGGTCAACCCCGAACCCCGCTACTGTGGCCTCTCTGCATTGCAAAGTGTGCTGAGCTCAGGGAGATGGAGACAGAGCTCAGGGCTGCTGTGGCTCCTGTTGGTTCTGCGGGACCAGAACTGTGCCCTCCTTCCTGTGAACAGTGTGACCAGTTCTACCTTGTCCTTCTAGAGACGCGCTGTAAGCAAGATGAACCTTCCCCGCCAGCTCCACCGACAACAGCGCACCCCTCGCCACCCCCTACCCACCCGTCACCACCTCACCCTTCGCCATCACCAGTGCCTGAGAGCCCCCATGTAGACAACTACAACGTGAGTGGTACCAACGGGACCTGTCTGCTGGCCACCATGGGGCTGCAGCTGAACATCACCTATAAGAGGAAGGACAACACGGTAGGCTCGGCCCTGAGGATCCCCCTTTCTCTTTGTGCACTGGAGTGTTGGTGCACATGAGTATCACAAGTCAGTGTGCTTGTGTCTCTGGTCAGCTTACTGGCCCACAGCCATACACACCTTTACACACGGGCTCCTTCCCTCTGAGACAGCGGGGTCGAACCCTTGTGGCGGAGACTGCCGTGTGGTCCACAAGAGCCTAAAACTAACATGGTGTTTGACCCTGCAGAACAAGGTCTTGTTGACCCGAGAGAATGTTAAATTTTGTTTAAACTCTTACTACTCAAACATTTAAGTGTTATTTTTTATACTTTTCCTTTGAAATAATATTTCTCCCTAATGATGACAGTCTGTGGGGGCTGTGACAAGTCACTTGCTTGTGATGAAGGTAAAGTGTGTGACCTTTGGGAGATAGGCTGAGAGAGAAGGGCGCTAGGATCTGCTGCCCCTTTCCCTCAGGTACATGCCATTCTGGAAGCATCAGAGGTAGCACTAAAATGAACTCTGCACTAGTGGAAACTTCTGTTTTTGGTTAAAATGAAGGTTACTGTACTTGGCCTTCAGGTGGCCTGTTTTGATGATTGCTTGTGTTTTTTCAGGGACGGAGGACCCAGGACATGAGACAGAATAGTAACTTGTCTGTTTTTCTTGCTCAGACGGTGACAGGAGTGTTCAATATCAACCCGAATAAGACCCATGTCAATGGGAGCTGCACGCCCCAGCTGGTGACCCTGGAGTTCCACAGCGAGAACATCAGGTTCCTAATCTTCCAGTTTGGAATGGTGAGTGTCCCTGGTCCTTTCACTCAGGGGGACTTCATTGTCAGACCTGCCTGCATCTTAGCATGTGGTTCCTTAATACTGTGTTTTCCCACACACGTGGTGCCCCATACCTGAGCCAGGCACACCACGTGTAAGCCAGAGGGAACATCGAACACGGGTCCTGGAACCCGGAGCTCTCCTCCCTGCCTTCCCTTCCTGACAGTCTTTTGGACCCTCGGCTCCGCCTTCCTGTTTTTTGTTTACAAATGGGCCTTCCCTTACGTATTCATCAGACATTAGGGAGTGCCTGCTGTGTGCCCAGAAGCCACTGATAATGCCAGAGTACACAGTTCCTTTGGCTGCAGAGAGGGAAGGGACAGCTTGGGGGTGGTCAGTTTGGCCTCCCTCACCGCTTTACTGCATTCTGTACCTTCTTTTCTTCAGACTTGCCTGGGAACCATACATAAAGTTAAAATAATATGGGAGAAATCAAAATGAAACTTAAAAAATATTTATAATACACTATGCTGATGAACTGAACAGTTGGTTTTTCATAATAAAGTTCAACTTTCCTAAAGCTTAACTTCTTTACAAGTTCAGTCAACTTTGGGGGAGTTTACCTTTTTGGAATAAGCTCCTTCAAACCTTTTAGCAGAATCGGATTCTGTAAAAAGATCTGGAAGGAACTAATCAAAATTAATGTTCTTGAGATTTATATGATGCCTTTTCCAGACGGGATACTCTTCGGTTTCATTCTAAAGCTAGTAATAGGGGAGATTGAATTTATTACCCAGTTTATAGTAAACATGTGAATCTGTTGACTGGTTAAGGATTATCTTTTTCTCTTTAAGAATGCAAGTTCTAGCCGGTTTTTTCTGCAAGGAATCCAGTTGGACATGAGTCTTCCTGAAGCCAAAGGTAAGATCCCTACAATTCACCTGCCCGTACAGGTGTCTCAGAGCACTAACTCTCGCGTGCCATTTCAGACCCCACCTTCAAGGCCACCAACAACTCACTGAGAGAATTTCAGGCCACCATGGGGAATTCCTACAAGTGTAACTCCGAGGAGCACATCCGGGTCACAGATGCCTTTTCCGTCAACATCTTTAAAGTGTGGGTCCAGGCTTTCCAGGTAGAAGGCAACAAGTTCGGGTCCGGTGAGTCACACTGAAGGCACCGTTTCAGAGCCTGAGCGGGCCTCAACAGGCTTTGAGTCTGTGGGGTTTAAACAGCTTCCGTGTCGCAGGGAAGGGGTGAGGGTGAGGGTTCCCCTTCCTGTGTTACCTTGCTTTCAAAATGCGCAGCATGTCTTAGTTGTACACACATCACATTTGAGCAAAGCAGGTTGTTTTAAGACATAGTGTGGCTCTTGCCCCTGTGAAATTGGAATATAAAAATGCTGTCTGGTGAGTTCCATGTCTAGTGGGGCCCAGATGCCCTGGACTGTGCACTGACCGTAATTTCCATGGTCATTAAGAATGTCCCGCCCTTGGAGAAGCTTCTCCAATGATGGTCGATTGGGATTGGGGCCATTCTCCCCCATATAATCTTCCCCCGCTGGGCAGTGGGCAGAGGTGGAGGAGGGCGAGGCCCTGTGTAAGGTCCACGTGCCCGTTTGAGCATGGCGTGCACCTGTCTGTCCCCTCAGTGGAAGAGTGCCAGCTGGATGAGAACAACATGCTGATCCCCATCGCCGTGGGTGGCGCCCTGGCGGGACTGGTCCTCATCGTCCTCATCGCCTACCTCATCGGCAGGAAGAGGAGCCACGCCGGCTACCAGACAATTTAGCCGAAGAGCCCCAGAAGCTGCAGGGCCGCGGTTCATTTCCCTGAGCTTAGATTGATGTTGGGGGAGGCACACTTTATTGCAAACTGATTTTCAGATCTGCTTTATCCAATGTGAAGTTCATCTTGCAACATCTATGCACAAAAGAGTAACTATTGCAATGACGGTGTTAATTTTGCTAACGGGGTTAAATATTTTGCTAACTGGTTAAACGTTAATATTTACCAAAGTAGAACTTGGAGGTGGGGGGAGGGTAAGAGTGCTTTTCTAAATGGGCACTGGCTCCACTATCATTTGGCTTTTTAAGGTTCTGGTGTTTGGTGTCTTTATTCTGGACTCAGATATGAGTCTTCCAAAGGGAGGGTCTCTGGTCTTAACACTTCAAACTGATGAAGGCTGGCTAACTGTTAGACTGACAGAGTTAATAAATTAGTAGAGAGAAAAAAATGTAAAACGGAAGTACTTCAGAAGGTGAAACTCTGGAATGCTTAAATTAAGCTTCAGAAGCCGGGACAGGCCTGGCCCCCACGGGCTGCACGGCTCAATACTTGAGCAGGCATTAAAGCGACTGGTCTCTGCCTGCTCTGCCACTCGGGAGCGGCACTTTTTTAAATAGAAAAATGGGTGTTATTTTTATTTACTTTTTTTTTTGTAAAGTGATTTTCAGTCTTCTGTTGGAGGTTCAGGGTGATCCTGTGTCTGCACTCGTGTACAATAATCAGTTTCACTCTCTGATTTATCCGCTTGCGGCTCAGGTGGGCTGTGCACTGAGGGTCCCTTCATGTAACGCATTGCTGTAACAATGCTAATAAAATGTCTCTTTCTTTCTCTGTCTGGACCTCGTGCTCTTGTCGGCTCTCGGAATGAACGGTGGAAAGCGGTGTGTAAGCTGGGATGGAGTGGGTGCCAGTAACGACTGCAAGTGGAGGGTCCGCCCGAGACACCCTGCTTCTGGGAGAGCTGATGTACAGCCAGTCTGCCGGGTGGCCCTTTGAGACCGTGTCTTAAGGGTGGTCTTCAGAGCCATAGTGTTCTGCCTACACCGTGGGAATGAAGGGTGCAGGGCGGTGTGTGGGCTCCCTCACAGCGCTGCGTGGTTCCCTGTGGCTCTGGGGACAAGACCGCCCCGTGAGAATGCACCCTTATCTGGGCTCCAGGACAGTGGCAGCAGGGGCCCTGCTGGCTGTGCCCGGAGTCTGCAGAGCAGAAGCTCAAGCCCACAGTTTATTTGGTCTTAACTTTTTAAGCAATGACCTGCATCCTGTGAGGACCCATGTGCCTTGATGGCTGAGGCTGAGGGCGGTGGCACTGCTGTGTGACACTGGGACTGAAGTACCGCTGACTGCCACCCACATGCCTGCACCCCAGACTCCGCCGTCCACGTGGGTAGGAGACCGACTTGTAGAGCTTGTGGCCCTGCGCCGTTCTTAACTCTGTAGCAGTCCTTCCTAAACCAAGCGGAGCAGACTGGGGCCGTGTGACAGATGGCAAGATGGGGCTGGTCTGAAAGCTGCCTGGGGGTGGAGCGCAGGGCCTACAGGCAGCATGACCCACAAGCGCTAGTTCCTTAAAAGGTTTTGATTCTAGTTTCAAACCTAGTCTGGGCAGTGCAGACACTGTATGCTCGGTGCATAGCTGAGAGAAACCCACAATTGGCCTGGGGTCAGATCTTTGTTGGTGTTGCAACATTTAGCATTAGGGCAAAGGTTTCCAAGGACCCAGATAACCCCATGGCTCCCTGAGGCTTTGATGCCTGGGCAAGCTAGTAATCACAGACTCAAAAGTGTTGGCATACTTTATTATTAAATACAAACACATCTCACATTTTATATATTATCGTCTTCGGTAAAAATATATCTGTAGAAATTTGACTTCATAGCTCATCCATTGCAGAAAATGTGATTTTAAATCACTCTTAAAAAATTTATGACCAAGGTATAGAAACATCAAGTATTTACAGCACTAAAAAAAAGTAGTAAAAATTGGTCAACTCTGGGAATGAAGCCCCGTGGTCAGTGCGGGGGTGGAATGCCCATGTCACCCCTGCGCCAGCAGCTTGGCCCGGCAGCTCTCTCGAAGCCTGGTGATGGTGGTCATGGACAAGCTGCCGGGCTCTGAGAATATTTTCTGCAAGAGAAAGGGAACTGGTTTATAAACCAAACAAGCTTTCATCGTATCCGTCCCCTGTTGAAGGCGAGGCTGTGGTCGGCGGAAGCTGGAGAGACTGTTGGCCTGTGGCACCTGGAGGGATGTGGCACCTGGAGGGAAGACAGCCCTCCGCCCCGAGGGGTTCCTGACGAACTTCAGACATGAACCCTTATCAAAGCCACAGTTTGCAAACATACTTTCTGGTAATTCTGTTGTTCGAGGAAAACCCATTTGTACGTTTTTGCTTTTGTTGCCTGTGTCGTTTTAGTTCAGATCATTTAACCGCTGTATCCTGTGGCAGCTCCAAAGTCAGGCCATTCATGAGCAGACGAAGTAAAGCATAAGAAATCAGATTTGAAAAGTGGAAGTGGGAAGAGACTCGATTCATTTCTAATAAGAGAAAACTACTTCCCACAGAGGCGAAAAGGTGGCATGGCAGGGGGGCAGGGAGAGCAGAGCGCCAGTGGGCAGGTGGCCACGGCCATGGGGCCCACGACAGCACCAGCACTGCAGGCCGGCAGATGTGCCGTCGTGTGTTCTATGCATAATTTAATCATTCGTGCAGTTACTGTGGAGAAACTCGTGGTTATAAATTAGGCCAAGTGTAAAGGCTAGTCATTTAAAACTTTTTTTTTTTTTTTTTAAAGAAATTGCATTTCAGCCCTGGCTGGTGTAGCTCAGGAAATTGAGCGAGAGCTGTGAACCAAAGGGTCACCAGTTCAATTCCCAGTCAGGGCACATGCCTGGGTTGTGGGCCAGGTCCCCAGTGGGGGCCACATGAGAGGCAACCACACACTGATGTTTCTCTCCCACTTTCTTCTTCCCTTCCCCCCTCTCTAAAAATAAATAAATGAAATCTTTTTTTTTTTTTTTTTACGTATTTCAGAATTCTTCCAGAGTTTCATAATACACAGCACCTGAGGTCAGGGTAGAGTGTTTACATAACAATTGTCCACGTTCCTGAAAAGTGGGAAGCAGATCAGACCCACTGAAACGTGCCAGGACGTACACTTAACTCATCTTCCCATTGGTGTTGCCCGGAGTTCCAGCGTGACATCACTGTTTATTCTCCGGGAAACTCCAGAGGTCGTGTGTAGGATTTCAGAGTGGTGTGACGCAGGGACCGCAGTCACTGTGCTGATGTGCTCTTACCACAGAAACACACAATTTTGTAGAGATCACCAAGAAAATGAGACTCACTATACGCGGGCTGTTTCCCTGCCAGCTTCCCTTGAATGGCTACATCTGTCCTGTGCACTGATACACAGCATTTTTATTTCAAAGTGAGGAGACTCGTGGAACCCACGCAGTGTCCTCACTGTCCTCTGCTTGCCTCACGCCCACCGAGCTCACGAGGCCCAGCGCTCCTTTGCGCTGTAACACAGGCACAGCCCCACCCTGGACGGCCTGCCCCCTCTACAGGCCTGCGGGGAGAACAGTCGCCTTGCTGCCTCTCACACTGTGTGGGCACTAACACTGAGCACTCACCGTGCACGCGAGGTGCGCTGCTAAACACTGACATGATGCCAGTTAGAATAAACCTTGAAAGCAGCATGCTGAGTGAAAGAAGCCAACACGGAAAGGCACACACACTGTTAGATTCCACCTCGGAAATGTCCAGAAGAGGAAACTACTTAGAGATGGGAAGCACGCTGGTGGCTGCCTGGGGATGGCAAGGGGGCGGGTGTGGGGCTCCCTTTTGGGGTGCCGAAAATGTTCTGGAACTAAATCATGGAACTAGGTCTCTGAACTGTATGTGTTAAAAGGGTGCATTTTGCCTTGGCTGGTGTGGCTCTGGTTTGGGCAGCATCCAGCAAACAGGCCGCCAGTTCAATTCCCAGTCCGAGCACGTGCCTTGGGTTGTGGGCCAGGTCCCCAGTTGGGGGCCCGGGAGAGGCAACCGATCCATGTTTCCCACACTGATACTTCTCTTTTTCCCTCCTTTCCCTGTCTCTAAAAGTAAGTAGATAAAATCTTTTTTAAAACGGGTGCATTTTGTGATCTGGGAGTGACATCTCATTCAAACAAACGAAATACTCTGAACAATCCTAGGATGCAGGACCCCCTGTCATCTTCCTTTTGTAAATGAGGAACCTGAGCCCAAAAGGAATCCTAAGACCCGCCAGCAGCCATACACACGAGGGCAAGCAATGATTCTGTCCAAGTTTAGCGTCTGGCTCCTGCAGACTCAACACAATCATCAACACAATCACAGACTCATACGTGAGGCCTGGGAGAAGCACAATCCTGCCGTCTGCTGCTTGAATTCCCCTGTCGCGTTCTCCCCAAGAGGCCACCAGCCAGCGTGAAGACTTCCGTAGATGGAGAAGTTACCCTCTGGGGGAGGCATTCTGGAACAGGGTCCGGCTCTACCTGCCATGCCTCAAAGGAATCGGTCACAGGTTTCTGACATTCCCCATCTGTCACTACCTGCTGCTGGCAGGTGAGCAGGGCTTGATACCAGCTGAAATGTCAGCACCCAAGGGTGCCCAACCACCTAGAGGACTCATGGCCACACCAGTCCTCAGCACAGCACCTAAACAGGATGTCTTCTGAGGCCAGGTGGAACAGAACCCCCTTCTGGATGTAGCCTCAGGACAGGGGCCAGGGTTTTCTCTCCCTCCCTGGAGCTGTCCAGCATCCATGCTTCGCCTCCAGAGTGGGTGGAGAAAGCTCAAGGTACACACTCTCTGGCTCAGAGCTCTGGATATTTTCCAAGACAGACCCAGCCATTAGAAGGCTGCCCCTGAGTCACTCCCGGGCACAGCAGCCCAGTGAAGTACTTGCTGCCACCCAGGGAGGTTCAGAGAAGCACCTAGCCTCCCAGGCATTTAGACACTGCCTTGTGGATGGAGCCAGCATGCCCTCTGCCACCTCCTTTGAATTTGTAACCGTATCAAACGGAAAGGTGAAGGGCCAGGCGGGCCAGGCTCTCTAGATGAAGGCTAGCATGCAACACCTCCCACGAGGGCCGCTCAAGCGTTGGGCTCTGCTCCTGGCTCTGCCCTCGTCCTGCTAGCCCACCTAAAACCTGCCTTCCCAGCCTAAGCCTGTCCCAGCTCTGAGGCCTCCTCAGAAGGCCTGTTGAATGCAGCTCCCACGTCATTCCTTCAGCAGGTCTGAGTCACCTTCACAGCCTGCAACCCCCCCTAGAATCAGGAAGAACGGGAGACCTGCTGTACACGGGGTCCTCGGGAAAGCCTCTGTGATCAAGTACACAGGCTAGCTTGTGGGGGGCTTCAGGCCTCGCAGAACTCTGCTACCTCTTGGGCTCCCAGGCCCAGAGAAACTCAAGTCCGGACTAGACAAGTCGTGTACTCGTACCCTTGATGGCTTCCATCCCAGTGAACCTGGACTGTCCCTAGTGGGTGTCCCATTGGCACTGGACCCTGCCCACCTTGGGGCAAGCCACTTCATGGCTGGTGGCCCAGGAGGAGGGGCAGCAGCCACTGGACTCCAGGTAGGTGGCGCCCACACATCTTGCAGGCCCTAGGTTCCAGGAGAAGATGGGCCTGGAAGGGGTTGGGGTCCCTCTTCAGGGCTGCTTGAGATGGGGGGGGTGAAGGGCCTCTCCCCAGCTGAGGCGGAGGCACAAAGGAAATGCAGGGACAGGTGCTTTGCCAGACAGAGAGCTGGGCAAAGCCAGAACAGCCACCTCCCAGGCCAGGCACATGGAAGAGCAGAGTAAAACACAGGCTGAGCCACCCAGACACTCACCTGCATGAAGGTGTGACATTCAGTCACAAAACTCCCTTTGGTGATCTCCTTGAACTTCTCACAAATGTCTGCAAAACTGGTGGCTTCTAAAATAAAAGCCTGATGTTGTTTGATCAAGGTCAGAGCCACCCGGAAGATAATCTTCGAGCCTTCACTGAACAAACAATCCCAGATTCGCAGTACTGTCTGCAGAGAAAACGGAGAAATGGCGCATCACTGCCCGGTGACCCGAGCCAGCCCCGGTCCCACAGAGGCGCGCAACACGCTTACCTCCACGGGCAGGATGTCCACAAAGAGGCAGATGAACCAGCGGGACACGACCAGAGTCCACAGGACACCATGCCCATCCATCAGGGCCGCCACTGCGGGCAGCTTGGTCCTCACCAGCTCCCCCAGGACCTCCTGGTCCGTCTTCAGGCCCAGCATCTCGGGGCTGTAGTAATCTGCCAGGGGACAAGGAGAAAAACCCCAAAACGTGCATCACTATTCTACAAACCACAGTCCCTGACAGCCTCGTCCCTCACTCTTTCCTGAGCCAGGGAAGGAAAACCGGGCTGTCCATGTGGGATCCTTTCCGGGGAGAGGAGGGAGGGGTTGGGGGGAGGGCCCAGGGTGAGACACCACGCTGGGTGAATGCAGGGACTCCTGGGAGTGACTCCCAGAGCAAGGGCCCCCGAGGCCCCTGGGGGCTCTGGACAGTGAAGCCCTGCTGGGCGTCGGTTAAAATTTGCTAGCAGAATGAAGGGGTATTTGCACACCCACATTCATACAGTGTTATTCACAACAGCCAGAAGGTGGGCACGACCAAGAGTCCGCCTGCGGGTGACTAGATGGGTAAATGAGATGTGACATACACACACGCAATGGACTACTATTAGCCTAAAAAGGCGGGAGACTGACATGTGCTACAGTATGGATGACCTTGAGGACATCATGCCAAGTGAAGTCGGTCAGCCCCAAAAGGACAAGTACTGTGTGAAGTGCCTAGAGCCACGAAAATCAGAGGCAGAAAGTAGGATGGAGGGAGCCAGGGGCTGGGGCAGGAGCAGGGGATGGGTGGCTATCTAATGGGGACAGAGTTTCAGTTTGGGGAGATGAGAAAACTCGAGACAGATGGTGGGGGCAGTTACGCAACAGTGTGAGCGTGCTTGATGCCGCTGAACTTAAAAACAATAAAGACTGTAAATGTGATGTTACGTGTATTTTATTGCAATAAAAATAAAACCTTAAAAATCTGCAGGTGGCAGCTGCCGCTCCCTGTCATCCAGACTGAGGGAGGGCCCGGCAGCCACAGACCTGCTGCCCCGCCCCAGTGGCCCTGCCCACCCCGAGCTAAGGGAGGCTTTGGGGGCAGGAGGAGCAGGTGGGGCCACCGGAGCTGCAGGGACAGCACTGCCTCACAGTGAGCTCCGTCTTGGGAGCAAGGGAAGCTGCAGGGCTCAGGTGGCCCGTGGCCTGGCCACGCAGGGCAAGGGAGCAGATGCAGACAAACCTGTCCCGGATGCCCACGAGGTGCCATGGCGCCACCCACCACGTACACAGGAAGGAAGGGGTGGGGCTGCAGGCAGGTGGTCACTCTGCATCGCCCCCCTGCACCCACCATCTCCCCAGAGGGGACAGCACAAGCGCACAAAGTAGTGTCATAAAACACATTTTAAAAAAATTGGCCTAAATCACAGATTTCTAATCCCACAGATGGGTAATGAAATGTGTGCCCTTGATAGGACGGACTTGTTGAGACCGTGGCTGCCTCAGCCATGGTGGCTTTTCCAGTGTTGTGTCAACGCCGAAGCATCTGGGATCCTCTGAGCACAGGACACGCACTCCTTTCTTTACTGGTATTGTGTGTTTTATTTATTTCTGTCTTTTTTTTGTTACGAAGATGACACATGCATACGGTAAATCTGAACACTACAGGAGACTGAGGTGAAAAGTCAAAGTCGTCCCCTAGATAACCAATCATCACTAAGCAGTTTGATGGGCCTCCTCTGCACTTGTATTACCACCTAACACATTGACGAATCTTGCAAACAGCACCCCGTCAGACATCTCTTTACGAAGTTCCCTGACACCTTTGCAGACCCTCATGGACATGGCCTGCCCTCTTTGCCCCAAGGCGCCTTCACAGGGTTAGGCCGTAACCCACTTCACTGGCCCCTGGCGGACAGGCGTTCAGAGGCTGGTGTGCGGTCGTGTGCGGTCATGTGTGCAGGGGGACGCCTACACACAGAGCTGCTGAGTGATGGTTCTCGCTAAAGACTCAGGAATCCTACATGGCTTCTCCAACTCGAGGGCAGAGGACACTTCATTGTATTTGCCAGATATTCTAGAAGGAGCCAAATATCCCCACCTCTCTGAATACAAAAAGGCAGAGGCAATGTTAAGTTTAAATTTTTTTCCAAAGACAGCTGATGACTTCATTTGGAGAAAATTCTTTTCCTCTAGTTTAGGGGGTTGGGGGGCCCGGGCTGCTGAACCACGGACAGCAGCACCTGCCGAGGAGGCTCACGGCCGCTCTGCCTCTGCTGTCGGAGGGCCCAGGCACTGGCTGGCAGCGGGCAGCCCCTGCAGCTCTGCGGCCACAGGCTCCACGGGCAGACGGACCAACGCTTCCAACAGCATGTCCAACTTTTGAACGGACATCTTGCCTTGCCCCAAAACTTCCTAGCTTGTTAGTGCAATGTATTCTAATACATTTTAATGCTTAATTTCGGGTATAAAAATCTAGTTAAGTGACGTGGTAATAAAATAGGAAACTATGCCACATTCTGCACACTGTCAAACATAGCACCTTGTACTGCGACCCACCTGCGGTTCTGTTACCAAGTGAACCAGGGCTTGGCCACCTGGTGCCTTTACACAGGACCCAGCAATTACTGTTGAAGGAAACGGGTTCTTATTAACAGGGTTCAGCCTTGGGGGTGCAGAGAGCAGTCCTGCTCAGAGCCCTCCTCTCCCACGAGACACAGAACTCACTCCCCTTGCTACAAGCCAAAAGCATGCCCAGAAGTTCCACATACTCTAATCTGTCCATTGCATTAGCTGGTCACACAAACAGGTTTCCATCCTTTTTGGCATGTGTACGTGTGGGTTTCAGAGTTGCCATATTTTCCCAGCAGCTTTTTTCCTTAGGATTTGGGGTGCACTGTTCTTAGCCTTCATGCAGTGGTTCAGGGGAGCATGTGCCCTGTTGCACTGGATCGCAGCGTAGTCCTGGGGGCACATGTCCCAGACAGTGACTTCTCTGTACATCTTCCAGAGCAGCAGAAGTCAGCGACTCAGCATTCCTGGTCATAGTTCAGCTCCAAGCACTGTTCACCAGTCTGGGCGGCGAGGCGGGTCCCTGCAGCTCCATCAACTCTGTCACCGCCTTCTCCAGGCAGACTTCCTCTCTCACTGCTGACCTTGTGGCTCTCTCTCCTCCTCACCTTCGGCCCAGCCTAATTTAAAGGTCAGCCCATAGCTTTCTATGCAATATTATACCCTGTCCATCCCGTGGTACACCAGTTTTGTCAGTTCCCCAGTGTCTTTTGCCCTTTTCTGGCTGCCATGTTTAGTCAGGGCAGGAGTTCCCATGAACACAGGGGCATCCAGGGTGGGCATCTGCCCCTTGCCTCTCATGCAGGTGCTGTATGAGCTTCCCCCACCCCACCCGCCACATCACGAGTCACCGCACATGCTCAGAGTCACGTACTGGGCGGCAGCCCTCTTCCCTTCAGGAAGGCACGGCTATTAACTTGCCTTTTGTTGTGCAATGTATCTTAACTGCTGTACCATTCGCTTTCTCCACCTTCAATCCTGCCTCACATCTGCCTGGAGGCAGAATTGCCAGGGGTTGGTCCCCTACTTTCAGGGACCCATGCTCTGCACCCCGTCACAGTTCAGTCACTCACCATGGCAAAGGAACGAGACGGTCTTGTCAGTTAGACAGTCATTAGGAATACTGACACAATATCACTGTCATGTTGCTAATTTTCAAAGAGTAAGCTATAATAAACTATGTTCAAGACTAAAGTACACTGAAAATAATTAAATAGAAGCCAAGTCAGTTACAAAATACCAGAGATTAAAAAAAAACTTTCATATATTTATTTTGCATCTATTTCTTGAAACTCAGCCATTTGCTCCTTTTTCCTTTTTAATTCAGTCATAGTTTGGTCCCAGTGGGAGAAAGCAGCAAAGATTCTCTGTTCTCCTTTCCAGACAGTCTTGAGGGCCAACCCAACCGCACTGACTCGGGGGGGGGGGGCAGGTTTAAGTGCAGGAGACATAAGAGGATTTTCCAAGAAGGACATTTAGGTTGTGAGTACAGCACAACCTTGTCCTTGATTACGAAGAGGGCTTATGGCAGCTTCCAAAAATAGATGTCGAAGTCACACCCCAGGCAGGCCTGAGCCGGTCGCCAGGGGATGATCACTGAAACCCTCCGTATTTACTTTCCCTCCCCAGTGCATTCTGCCTTTGAACGTGGGAAGGCCAGACAACCACGATTCCTGCAGGCCCTGCGGCCCCGTTCCCCTAACCACTGTCAGAGCAGAAAAGCATCATCAGGCCCGACATTCCGCTGTGCACGGGAAGAGAGAAACCCTCCGTAGCCCCTGCGCTGGCCTCACCTCTCTGGGGCCCCTAGTTATGCTTCTCCTGTGGACATTCATCCTTGCAGACAACCTAATTAATGGCTCTGTCAGAACATCTAAAGGCTAAATGGTGCCGGGGCAGGCAGGGCAGGTGCAGGGGTGCTGTCTCTGGGGTGGGTGCTGCTGCTGCGGGGGTGGGGTGCACAGATTTAAAATGCACCCACGATTATTGCTACCTGAGTAGTAAGCGGTAGAGCTGGGATTCAAGCCTGGGTAGTCTAATCCCCAAACGGATGCCCTGCAGCCCACGGATGCAGCAACTGCCTGTGAAAAAGCAAGCGCTCGTCCCACAGGCCATGGAATACTATGGGGGAGACCCTAAGGGTAAGCTGGTCAAGAGAACCCTTGAATCACATACTCAGGTGCAGCAGAGGTGAGTGGAGTCCAGTGGTCCTCACCCAGTCCCAGCTCTGCTCCGCAGGGGCTCTGAACCTCACCCCACAGAATGTGCCTTATCAGTTCTCCTCAGCCACACCCTGGTTATTTCAGTGAGGAGCAATTAGCAACCTGTTTTTCTGTGTTTCAAAGGAAAACAGGTCTGACCAGCTTTTCAGGACGCCAATATATTAGCAGTTCATTGCTGCACTCACTCATTATTTGATGCAATTACAGTGGAATGGTGCTCCCCCTTCTGCTTCTTGAAGTCAGACGGGCACCATTAGCACCAGGGGCTCAGAGCCTGGTCCTGGTCCGGCTTATCTGCCAGGCTCAGGAATCCTCTTCTATCCACGAAGTGAATCTGCTTTTTTCTTGTACCCTTTCACCCAATGCCTTGGTTTGAGTGGTGACTAATCAGGAGAGCCACCACTGGTTCTCAAGAAGCCACTCCTGTCACAGGAGCCTGTGTGAGAGAGGATTCTGGGTGTGGGTGTGTGGAGGGTAAGTTTAGCCTGCGTGGACATTGTTCACTAGCGTTTTGCTGACTAGGAACCATGAGAGGCCTTTGCTGTAAAAGTGAAATCCCTTGAGTAAACCTTATCTGAGTGACTGTTCAGGACACAGTAATGCTCCGAGAGGTGGCGGTGCCTGAGCAGGGCTCAGTTGGCCAGACAGGAGGCCAGCAAGGCATGCACAAGACCAGGAGTTCTCTGACTTCGTACAAGTGACCCTGCCTCCGAGACCTCCTTCATGAGAGGTCTGTAACAAGGTGGTCTTCAGTTCAACACTGACTTTTATCCCGTTTCACCTGCTCTGAAATGGGGGTGTCACTCGCCCAGAATGGTGGCCATCGGGCAGCTATTCTGGCTTTGACATCCTACTTCATTTTGTTTAACTCTGCATTTCCTTGCTTATAGCAGAGCTTAGTCATCTCTTCTTAACTTTGTTGGCCATTCGGGCTTCCTACTTTGTAAAACACCTATTTTCTTTTTCACAAAAGTCTGACTCCCTGTGGAATAGAAATAAGGATCTAATTTCATCTTGTTTCATATAAATAGTCAATTGTCACCAAATGATATTTCAAATAATCTTTTTTTGTCCATTAATCCCACATAGATCCTAATAGATTAACAGATCAGTAGACCAACTGACGTCTGGCCTCTTTTCTATTTGTACATCAGTAAGCTAATGCCACACAATTTTAATCATTGTAGCACTGTAGTAAATCTCCAGCATTATTCTTTCAAGGCTTCTTGGCTTGGCTTTGCTCTCGAGCCTTCCATATAATTACAGGACATACAGCTGCCTCTCTGCATTTGGACAGCTGCAATGGCAAGGATAAATCCCTTTGTCTTCCCACACAATCCTGACATTTTTGTTTTTATATTTTCTTTTGTTTTTGAATCAAGACCTAACAGCACTGCAGTTTACTCTAACTGAACCTAATAATGATAGGACACGACATTTCAGGAGCAATCTGGAGTTTTGCTTTTTTACTTTTCCAAGTAAGCATTTATCCCCTGCCACTAATCTATGGTGAATTTTAAAGGAAACCTCAACTAAAATTGGAGTTGGGAAGGCCTGTAGAGAGAGCTATCACACCCTACCATGAGAGGTCAACTACCCCAAACTGGAAGACCTCAGTTGCAGACCTCAACTTTTTACTACTTTAATACCTAGCAGGAGGAAGGAAGATTTTCCTTCTACCCAGCAACAAGCCTAGCCAATGGAAACGTCACAGCTCAGCCAATGAGAAGCCGTCATCACCTGAATGCTTACCTTCCTTTAATGGACTTTCATTTTTCTCTTGCCGATGGTTTCTTTGACCTGCCCTCCTTTCTATAAAAGCTTTCCATCTTGTACAACCCCTCCTAGTATCTACTTACTAGCTGAGTTGCTGCTTGATTAATGAAACATTTAATAAAGCCAATTATATCTTCAAATTTACTCAGTTAAATTTGGTTTGTTAACTGTGGAGGAGACACTGTTCCGTCACGGCCGCTCTCTGTCCCTCAAGCTGGACCCAGGCCAGAAGGAAGGCTGCTTTCTGCAAACCCTCTTTAGAGGCTGTCTGATCCTAACTGACATTCATCCTGATATAATCGGTATCCCTTCCTTGAACAAGTGCTGGTCCCTGGAACAGCTTGTTGCCTCGACCTGGTCGAGCATGTAAAGTAATTTCCTGTACCTGGCAGCATTCACATTCTAGCACCCCACCGTATTCCCCCTTCCGCCGTGTGGAATTCTCTGGCGTCTGCCAAGGGGCACGGGGACCCATTTTGTCTTATAGCTGCTGAAGACGTGACTCAAATGTAAGTTTTTATCAATAAATTACTAACTGCCAGCCTCTTTCATAGGTCTTTCCTTGCCCTCCACTTAGGGAGGTAAATTTTCAGTCTTGGGGCATTTCGCTGGATCTGTGTACATGAGCACGAACACTACGCCATTGACCTACTTATTATGGGTTGGGTTGCGGTTGCTGCTGCTCACTGTTTGACCTCTTTCTTGCAACGGGCATTGCACAAGGCAGGACCTTCTGTGTGTGGTTCACTGATGTTTCCCACACCCCCAGAACTGAATTGATCATGGATATAAACAGTCATTGTAATTCAGTCTGAGGACATAACTGAAGCAAATGGTGAACGTGATACAGAGCTCTGTCAGTACTTCATCTGGAGGGTCTTGACTCCCCCTTCCTCGTAATTTCCCCACCACTGCAGTTCGGGCCTTCACGTGGAAGCCGGGCCTGCTCCAGTCCTCTCCGCCTTTGGGCTCTCTTCTCACACTCAGGACCTCTCCACCTTTCCCTTCCTCACGGGCGGCTTGGTCCAGCCTGGCCTCTGCACACCCACTGCTGAGCCCTCGTTAATGGCAGCACCAGAGCATGAGGAGCCCCCCACTCCCCTCTATCTTCCCAGATTCCCCCTTTCTTTAACGACTGCATTCAGGTTCACTCTTCCATGCCAAGGTCTTAGAGTCGCAGAGCCATGGATGTGAACCTGGGCTCTGCCGCAGACAGCTGTGGAAGTCAGGCTGTAAGCATCCTCCTCTGTGAAACAGACGTCGTAGCTGGGTCTGTGTGGTCCAGTAGTTCTGAGGCTTCAATGAGAATGCAGGCGCAGTGTAGTATGGAACCTGAATGTGCTACGGGCATGTCTTCAGCACCGAGCTTCCAGAGATGGGCGCCAGTTCTCCAGAGAGGCCCCTGGGCGCTGCCCTGGGATGGGTGTAGCCTGACCCAGGCACGTGTGAGAGAGGGGAGGGGCAGGAAGAAAACTCAGACACAGAAAACAAGAGCAACCCAGGGCTCACTGCTGTGGGAGGCCTCCAACCTCCCCGTCCACCAGTCACGAGGATTTCGCAACTGTGCTTGTCCTTCAGGACAAACGCAAGGCTCACTGCGACCGATCACCACCATCAAGTCCTCCCCCACTGACACGGCCCTGCCACTTCTCCTCCTGAAGGGGTCCTACTCTGCAGCTCACAGTCCATGCTGTGCATCGCCCAAACCGGTGGGTGTTTATGAACCAATCACTTATTAGTTAAAACAGTACTCATTCATACATAGAAAGGTAGAAATGTATGAAAGCAATGGTCCTCATCCTAGTAACAGTAATAACAACAGCTGACAATTACTTCAGTCTTACCGCCATTCACAGACTAACGAACACACACGTGTAACTGAGGGAAGCTCTCACAGATTCCGTGATCACAGGACATACTAAGGCCCAACAAGTCTCAACAGGAATGGTACAGACTGAGGAACAGGTGAGCTCGGCACACGGTCTCGACCAAGTTCAAGGTCTAAGACACAAAAATAATCAGCTGCACTGACTGCCGATCATCTCAAATATTTTTCTTCTTCTTAATGTCATTGCAAAAAAAATTGTTAACCTTGACTCCCAAACAATTCAGTTATATTTTCATTAAATCTTGGCTGGTCAGCTGAATCATTTCGATAACACCAGAAACAAGGACAAACAGTATGGATTTTCAACATACCAGGCAGTATTCTTCCAACAAGAGCATCTAACAGCCAAAAGGATTCTTCTTCATTCTTTGTAATAAGAATCAGGTATCCTGCTATAAAATTCATTCCCTGAAATTAGAAAAATGAGAAATAGAAATTCATGTTGAGTTTTATTTTTTTAAAGATTTTATTTATGCATTTTTAGAGAGAGGGGAAGGGAAGGAGCAAGAGAGGGAGAGAAACATCAACGTGTGGTTGTGTCTCATGTGCCCCCTACTGGGGACCTGGCCTGCAACCGAGGCATGTATCCTGACTGGGAATCAAACTGGCAACCCTTTGGTTCACAGACCTGCACTCAATCCACTAAGCTACACCGGCCAGGGCTCACGTCAAATTTCAAAACACCGTAAGATTCTGTGATTGTTGGGCTGCTAACTACTAAACTTTCCATTTCCCTAAAACTTGCATAATTCTCAAATGAGCTTTTAGTACAACTTTGGAGATACTAAGGATTTGACATCTAGTAATGCATTTCATCAAGCCTACAAGAGAAGGAAGGAAAATGATGAAAAGAAACTCTTCTGAATATTGCCTTAGAATACTAAAATCAAAAACTCTTCAACTAATGGTTACCTTATAAAACATAACTTCCAGTTGTTTTTGTAAGAATCAGTCTAATAGCATGAAACTATATCAGAGGGGAAACTATACCAGGAACCATATTTCATAACATCCACAAAGGTACGTGGTCTGACACACAGGGATGCTGAAAGAGGTCCTTGTGATGGACACTGTGGAGAAATTCACAGCGAACATTTGCCAAAGGGCAGATGTGGCTAAAATACCTGAGTTATGTGACTCTCGTCTGACAGAATGAGCTAAACCCCGGGGACAGCAAGGAGACTGGGCGCTTAACAACAGTGAGTTGCAGTCACCTCTGGGTGACTAGGTTTAAAACAATTTCTATTTTCTTTTTGGCATGCCTGTATTTTCTAAAATAAGTATGTATTTCTCTAATAGCAAGGGGAAAATCCAACTCTTGTCAGCCAACAAGATAAATATGGACACAGAAACCCCACACAGGGAGAGCACCGTGTGAAGAGGAAGGCAGAGACTGGGCGATGTGTCTAAAAGCCCCAGAACGCACGCCAAGCGGTGCCAGAGACCACCAGGCGCTGGGGGCGAGGCCTGGAACAGACTCCCTCACAGCCTGAGAAGGAACCAGCCCCAACGACACCTTGATCTCAAGACTTCTGAACTCCAGAACTGAGAGACAGTTTCCGGTGGTCACGCCTCTCAGCTTATGGACCTTTGTCACAGCAGCCCCAGGAAGCCAACACAACGTGTGTGTGTGTGTGCGCGCGCACACACACATTCCAAAAGCCAACACACATTCCAAAAGCCAACATCCAGTTGTTGTTCCACTTATTTATGCACTCATTGGTTGATTCTTGTACGTGCCCTGACAGGAGATTGAACACAACTCCTTGGTGTATTGAGATGACACTGTAACCAGCTGAGCTACCCAGTTAGGGCCCCTAAAGCCAGTAGTTTTGTCATCATGCTAATATTTAAAATTGTGTGGTTTTTTCTAAAGCTATTTTTTTAGTCCACAAGAACAGTAACTAGAAAGGACAATTTCTCAGCCATCCTGCTTCCCCACCTCCAAAGGGCAGAGTCCTTGTTTCAGGACAAGTTAATGACAGTCATAAAAGTGAAGAATGACAGGAATTCCGTATGGGAAAAACGGGCCCATCCCAGTTTCGTCTTTCTGAAGGCACCGCCTCTGGGTAACAGAGCAACGCAAACTTGATGAATTATTCAGGTGAATGTGAGTAGTAACTCTGACGCATCTCTGCTGCTGGTCTTTTGTAAGTGACCTGCCTCTCTCCTTGTCCCATTTCTCCCTCATTCCTCTCTGGCCACATGCTGATCACACAGGCATGCACATTCTCAAAGCACCCCTGCTGCACAACCATTTGTTCAAACCTTCTTAAGGGCCCGAACGTTCATGGCTCCCTGGCCTTTACGAGCAGCTTCCGAAACCCATGACTGTTAGATGCACACTTCCCATCACACGGCAGGGTTTACTCACCTTCCTTTCAGGAAACCTTTAGACAAGCCTCAGGCTCCAGCAGCACCAGAAGCATGCAGCCTCAGGGACAGGGAAAGCCACTCTCTTTCCGTGACAGCCGTGGGCTTCTGCTCGCAGCTATGGTGACAAGCAGCATTCCCGGCAACAGGAAGCAGGCAGCTCCTGCCAAAACCCTGCCTGGCACATCTGGTTGCTCGGGCCTCACCGGCCTCCAGCGAGCTCAGAGACAGCACCAGCCCGTCTCAAAGGCAGGGCGGCCGTATCGCATGCAGCACCCACAGAGGGCACAGCTGCGGCTGCTCCTAACTCAGGCTCTTCTTGTGTTTCCCATTATGCATAAGAGTGTCCCTCGGATACACTCCAGGCTGGGACCGTTTCACAGAGAAACGAGAAATGACTCTTCCCCACCTCACGTGTGCCTCACACAGCGAACCCAAAACAAGGTGGCAGGTGATGAGGCGTACTGTTACTTTTAATACAGGGAAGATCTGACTTCCAAAAACAACCTCGAAGAAACACCCCCATCCCCTCCACACACACACAATACGCACTGGGGCAATACGGTGCCCTTGGTCTACTTTCTGTCCTTAGAAGATACAGCCCTGTGTTCACTTAAGTTACTCCTGCCCGCTTCCCAACTTCCCACCTCCACCCCCTCTCACTGCAGTCTGACACCAAAAGAAATCATGAAATAGAGGTTTCACTAACTTTGTAACTGGCGAATATCTAAAGTCACAGTCCGTGCAGGTTTTATAACTTAGGGAGTTTATGAACTACATTAACAAAGAATGCTTAATGTACACCTGGAGAGTGTGTCTGTTGTAAGTTTGTGTGGTGTCGATGGTGTTCACCTTCCTGGGGGCTTACCTGGCAGTACCCCACACCTCGGTTGTGGTGCCCATAGGCCAAGAGCACGTTGTACAGGGTCTTCTGTAAACAGGGGTCTGCGCTCTTGCGGAATTTTACATTGTCTGGGAAGGTCCTGTTCATATCTGCAGAGAAATTAATAGCAGAATTATTCAAAAGGTGGGAAGGGGAGAGGGTCTGCGATGCACAAACCCCACTTGGTGAAGTGCTGGGCTCCATCTCAGGTCTCAGGACGGGCTCGGCCCTGGTTGTGGTCTGAATCGCCCCCAGAGAGCCTGGCTGCCCTTCCCGGGCTACGAGCACCCGCAGCCCTCACACCCAGGTCCCAGCTGCCTGCAGTCAGGAGGGAAGGAGAGACTACTTCGGGGACCCTCGTCCTGTTCCAGCCACGCCAAAGGGACACCCGTGGGCCCAAGTAGCAGTTCTCCCAAAATCAGTGACAACAAAGTGAGCTTCTCCAGCTGAGGCCCGGGCCACGGAGGGGCCCTGATATTTTCCTCACTTGTCTCCTCCCCACAAACCTGTCCTCACACTGCCCGTCCCTCTTAGTTAAGTGGTGGCTAACTCTAGGACAACAGGCGACAGATGACCATTTTACACAAAATTCTGGAAATTTTCACAATTCTGAAGATCACAAACATAAAGAAGCAGAACACACGGACAGCCCCTTTCAGAAATGAACAGACAAAATGGAAAACTAGCCCTGGCTGGTGTGGCTCAATGGATGGAGCACTGGCCTGAGAGCCAAAGGGTCACTGGTTCAATTCCCAGTCAAGGTACATGCCTGGAGTGTGGGCCAGGTCCCCAGTAGGGGGCGCTCGAGAGGCAACCACACATTGATATTTCTCTCCCTCTTTCTGTCTCCCTTCTTCTCTAAAAGTAAATTTAAAAAATCTTAAAAGAGGCTGGTGTAGCTCAGTGGATTGAGCACAGGCCTGGGAACCAGAGGATCACGGTTCAATTCCCAGTCAGGGCACATGCCTGGGTTGCAGGCCGGTTCCCAGCAGGGAAAGGCAACCATACATTGATGTTTCTCTCCCTCTCTCCTTCCCCTCTAAAGATAAATAAATATGTTGATTAAATCTTTTTAAAAATCGTAAAAGAAAAAAACCCATGACAACTAAGAACAAAATGAACTCGGCACTGTCAACCTCTGCCTACAGGAGAGTTTCCCTGCCAGCCTCTTCCTGCTCATCAGACCCCCACTTCCTCAGCCCGGCCCCCCCAGCCCGGCCCAGCCGGTCCTACCGGGGCCCATGCAGGGACACAGGTGCTGGTGGAGGTCACCAAGATGACACCTGACATTTTTTTAATCCTCACCCAAAAGCATGCTTACTGATCTTACAGAGAAGGGAAGGGAGGGAGAGAGAAAGAGTGGGAGGGACATAGGAATTGGTTGTCTCTTGTACACACCTCGACTGGGGACTGAACCCACGACCTAGGCCTGTGTTCTGTGACCTTTCAGGCTACGGGATGACACTCCTACCAACCGAGCCACACCAGCCAGGGCCAATGCCTGACTCTTTCAAGTTCAGTTTCAGATGTTAACTCTGTACACAGGTGGCAAGAACAGAGAGGATGTATGTCAACTTAAACCATTACATCTTTTCTAACTCTACTGACCCCGCTTAGATCAGTGTGTTTGCCACTGTGCTATGTCCGATAACCAGAACAACCCAGGATACCCACAGCCCACAGATCTCAGTGTGGGACCTGCATAACCACCAGCTCTCTCCCCCAAGGCCTCTGCAGGCACGGCAGCTCCCCGCACGCCTGCGCAAACCCGGCCTGCACTTCGGCGTGAGGCCCGCAAACCTGCAGTGAAACGCTGCAGCCATGATCGTTCTGTCCCCAGCCCCCCGCCCCAGGCCTTGTCTCTGCTTCTAAAACACTAGGTCTGCGCAGAACAGCAAGTTCAGTGTCCCAAAGCACATTATTTTTCATGTATGTTTCCTAAAAAAAAGCATTTTGTTTTTTAAATGCCTCCCATGACCTGTCTCATTCTCTGTCCCTGCCCCCCTCAGCTGTGCCTTTCAGAGTTCCAATGGCCCGGAGGACTGACAGTGTCGCTGGGGACAGTGTCGCTGGGGACAGTGAGAAGCAGCTTGGCCGTCACTCAGGACGCAGTGGTCTCACCCCCAAGAAGGACAGAGGCGGGAGGCACAGGGTTCCTCTGTTGTACTGACCACGGCTACATTTATTTTTGTCTTTTTTTAAAAATTATATTCCAGTGTATTTTATATTATTTATTTTTATGAGTATGGCACATTTGTTATAATTAATAAACTAATTAATACAGAACTGTTATTAACAAAAGTCCATAGTTCATTTAGATGTTTCAGAAATTCCTACAAAACATTTTTTTCTGGAGTTCTAAGCATTCTAAACTGCAACTGATCAGGAGAAAACGAGTGTTTTTTACTAATTCGGACTAGAATGACCAGCTGTGTTCATTCCTGTGTAATGTTTTTTCATTATGAAAAGTTTTCCGTGTGTTAAAATCTTCCCACAGGAAATGCTGCCCTGCATCGTGGAAGCAGAAGTGAACGGGGTGTTCAGTCCGCGCTCCCACGGCATGAAACAGCCAGCTCCACCCACCCTGTAAAGTGATTTGTCCAGTTCCTCAAAAAAACTGACGTGGAATTACCACGGGGGCTAGCAATCTCACTCCCGGGAATACACCCAAAACCGAAAGCAGGGTCTCCAAAAGGCATTTTTCCACCCGTGTTCCGAGAAGCACTATTCACAACAGCCAGAAGGTGGAAGTGGCCCTGGTGTCCATCGGTGGGTACGCAGCAAAAGGAAACAGTGTGGACGCACCGTGAAACACCGGCCAGCCTCACCCAGGAACCTGCCACAAGCATGAACCCTGAGGACACTGCTCAGGGAACTCAACCAGCCACAGAAAGACGGACACTCTACGACCCCCCTTGTATGAGGTACTCAGAGTCGTCAAACTCCTAGAGGCAGCAAGAAGAACGGTGGCCACCAGGGACTGGGGGACAGAAGGTTAGTGTTTAATGGGGACAGAGTTTCAGTCAGGGAAGACAGAATGGTAAATTTTATATTATGTATATTTTACCACAATAATGAAAATTTACCTGAAAATGCTGGCACTAAACAGAGCTTCTAAATTTATTTTTCAAAGAAGGAGCAACATTCTGTTTTATTTAATATGTTCAGCCTCCCTTGAACCTAAAGTCTCTTCCTAACCTAAACAAGCATTTCCAGCCCCGCTGAGTGATGGCCCCCCGCTGTGCCTGCAAAGCCAGCAGCAGCTTCTGTGCTGAGACCTTTGACCCTGGTTTGCTGTGCAATCAGGTTGCAGCCAAAGGGTTCAGCACCCCCAGTTCTGCCCACTGGTTCCACCCCTGGGCATATGAGACCCCAAAGACTGAAGGACCCCTGTTTATTATGTTGGAGACACACCACTCTCACTGTCATAAGTCAGTCCAACCTCTCAGCACTTCAAAGTAATTGATTTTAAAAATTTTTTAAGGTTCCATTTATTTATTTTTTAGAGAGAGGAAGAGAGGGAGGAAGAGAGGAAAAGAAACATCTATTGGTTGCCTCACACATGCCTGCCACTGAGGACTGGCCTGCAATCCAGGCATGTGCCCTGACTGGGAATCAAACTGGCAACCTTTCCGTCCACAGGATGACGCCCAACCCACTGAGCCACCCCAGCCAGGGCAAATTAACTCAATTTTTTAAATTAGCTATTTTGTTTAAATTCGTATTTCTCAAAAACTGTTAAAATCAGGAAGGCAGATGTATTTCCTTAAAATCTAATTATTCATTTTAGGGTAAACATTTTTTTCCTTGGGCACTTTTAACTTTTAAGAGACAGGGAGCCTGTGTAAATATGGAGAAAACTACAGGGAGAGAGAGTAAAGGCCAAAAATATCAGCATCCCTGGACAATTATTAGAGCTTGACACAAAGAAAGAAAACTTCAGAGTGCGGCTTTGTGATGCGCGTGTAGCTGCACCGTCAGTCCCGTGCGCTCCCGTCAGGCACACACCCCTCCCAGTGAACGCCCCACCGGGTCGGGGCTGCTGGCTCGAAGCCTCACTCTGAGGGCTTCTGCTTGAAAGAAATCCGGTCTCTGCATCTTTCACAATGCCCATTTCTTCACCGGCATCAGGACTTCAAAGACTGGACGCAGACCCGATTTGGAGGAGAGTTCCCACACCTCCCCCAGCCCTGCCCCGGCTCCTCCTGCCTGGGCCACCCCGCGCCCAAGGGATGGGTACCGTGTGTCACCTGTCCTGATGGCCTCCTCCAGGCTGTCATTTCTCTCTTGCTGGAGAAGTCGGTGGTAATAGCCGGGGTTCCTCTCCATCCGGGCCTGGGCTCCACTCACCCCCATCCAGACGCGGGCCCTGTGCTCCAGTGGAACGCCTTTCCGGATGTAGCGCTTCACTGGAACAGAGGAAGGGCAGCCTCAGAAGGACAGAGCCAGTGGCTCGAATTCCAATACCTTCAGCTCACCAATTCTCTCCTTAGGTCAAACACTACGAAGATGCAAAGCTTGCCTTGGCCAGGTGGCTCAGTTGGTTGGAACATCATCCTGCACACCAAAGGGTTGTGGCTTCGATCCCCAGCTTGGGCGTGTAAGGGAGGCAACTGACTGATGTTTTTCTCTCACCTCTCTCACATCTATGTGTGTGTGTGTGTGTTCGTGTGTGTGTCTCCCCCTCCCTTCCTTTCTCTGAAAATCAAAAAAACATATCCTTAGATGAAAATTTTTTCAAAAAATGCAAAACTTCGCACATCTCTACCAAAACTGGTATATACACTCATCATAGAATTCAGGTCTTCCACCCAAACTGACCACAATGAGGCTACAATAACCCAATGCCAGGGGCGTCGAGGTCCATCCTCTGGTCCTCTCATGCCACCTACCACACAAACTGTGACAGATGCTGCGGCTGTGAAGACAGGTTGGCCACAGGCCCAGACTCAAGTCCCTGCTCAGGGGTGACCTGGACCAGGAATAGTCTCTGTGACCCAGGCACTGCCCACAGCTGGAAACGCCAGGAGAGCAGGAGGGACAGCAACCTCGTCAGGTGAAGGGACAAGAAGCAGGAAGAGACCCTGAGCTGGTCCAGGGGAATGTAAGCATAGACACAAGGGCTGGGGGGACAGCGGGGGGGTAGGGACAGACCCAGAGGCGCTAGTGAATCAGGCGCAGGTGCCTGGTCCTTCTCTGGAGGTGACCGTGAACAGTGGGGCCTGAGGTCCCGTGAGTGCGCTGGGAAGCCCTCCTCGGGGCAGAGACCAGTGAGAGGACAACTGAAAATGAGAAGACAGCAAGTGTGCAAGCTGTGCGCTTGTGTGAAGCGCCTGGCTGTGTGCACGGGCTGCAGCCACAGACGTCCTGTCCGGCTCTGCAGCTGGTCTCCGTGGATCGGTAACTACCGCATTTTGAAGGGATGTATTTATTGAAAAGAAATATGTGAAAAGGTGATCAGTAATTTCCTAATGACCATCACAACAAAAAGGAAAATAAGCCCAAAACCATGAGTGACCTCAATTAGTCAATATTCAATAACTTCCTAGGCAAATTTAAAAAATTGTAAGATTAACATTCAAGTTCATTACAGTAACCCAGAGATGCTACTCTATGCTTTAAATAATCTTAATTGAACCCCCCAAACAGTTCATTTTCAAAGTAAATATTCACAGGTTTGTTTTGCTTTGATACTATAAATATTATTATTTTTTAAAAGGCACACTTTAGGAAAAAAATAAAAACTCTGCAATTAGTGAAATTCTACAAGCAGCCATAAAAAGAAAAAGATCTGAAGCACCAATTGCATTTACCAGGAAACAATTATGGGGAAAAAGTCTAGGTTACAGTCAGGAAAAGCACTGTTGATACAAACTTAACTCCAAGGCGACCCACACAGCATCACCTGCACATGAGCACCTTAAAGCAGAAACTCCAGGAGGCCGAGTCCCCTGCACCTGCCCAGGAGGGCACACGGCAAACTGGCAGGAGGAGGCAGGGATGACAGAGGAAGATCCAGGAGAGGGAAAGAACATTTCCGAAATAATCCACCTAAAGACCAAGAAGACTTCAGAAACCTTCTTTGCCAGTTTGAATGCACATTGGAGGACTGTGCCTCGGCAAGAACATCTCCACACTTAGTTTATTTATACTGTCATGGAAACGTGAAAAGCACAAGCTTTGTTTTATTTTTAAGTCTATCAAAGACACTAATAATTCAGCCTGACTTTCCCCTCAACTTAGTATGATTTGTACTGAAGATTGGCTGTAGGTCTCATGAGCCCGTGGAGGCAACATGACCACAAACACCTGAAAGAGCCGTGAATCAAAGCGGGTGGGGACTGGTCTAACTTAGATGGCAGCAAAAAGACACGCACAAATCTATGGTAGTTTGGCACACTAATAACAAACAACTGAAATCAAAACAGTGAAAATAGTATCATTTACAATAGCACCAAAACTAAAAAGAGAAATTCTTAGGTAAAAACCTAACAAAACACCTGTCGGGTCTGAGTGCTGAACACTGAAAAAGGAGTCAGAGCAGACAAATAAGAGGAGATACATCACATACCCAGCCCACAGATTGGAAGACTCAGTATTGCTAAGATGTCAATCCTCCCCGAATTGATCTACAAATTCAATACAATGTGTTGGGAGCTGACCAGCAGCCATCCCTTGACGCAGTCGGGACAGATGAGATGCATCTGCACAGCAGAGGCAACTGTGGCTGGATTTCCTCTCTAAAATACCAACAATATTCAGTGCTGTCAGAATGTGACCAGCAGGAATTCTCATTCACTGATGGTGGAATGCAAAATTGTGCAGCTCCTTTGGAGAGAGTTTGCAATTTCTTAAAAATGAAGCATATAGTTACCATATGACCCACGGTTCTCTTTCCTATGTATTTCCCTAAGAGAAGTGAAAGCTTAAATTCAAGCAAAACCCCATAGATGAATATTTATAAGTTGGCTTTATACATCCCAAATGTCCTTTGATGAACAGACAATAAAAATAGAGTACACCATAAATGAAACAGTCCACAGCAAAAGAGTGAACTATTGATACACCCAAATCATGAACACATCTCAAATGCATTCTGTTAGCTGCAGAAACTAGACTCGGGAGAGGGCTGTCAGGGGCGTGAATGGTAATAGAAAAAACACAGTAACAAAATAAACTTTAAAAAAAGAAAGAAGCTAGACTTCAAACGGCTACAAGACGTATGATCCCATTTATAGGACAACATCTGATGGCTGAACCGTGGGAATGAGATCAGTGGTGGCCTGGGGTGGGGGCAGGGACAGAATTCTGAAGGAGAAGGGCCGCTTTGAACCTGCTTGCAGTGAGGTTCTGTGACTCTGCATGTTTGTCTAAACTCACAGAACTATATAGCCGTAAGAGTGAATTTCACTATAAACTAAAAAAATTAAACTGTGAGGTAAAAAGAGGGAAAGTGTGGAAGAGCTGAATCCCTCACTATGGAGATGGACGTCAGCTCTGCCATGACTTCCTAGCCCCAGACCTTGGACGGGACTCAGTTTCCTTGTCTATAAAACAGAATAAATCACTCGCCTGGCGCCTGAAACATAGTCGGAGCTCAGCGAATCTTAGCTGTTGTAACTCGGTGACCGTACCCAGAAGTTGAAGAACAAACGCTTTTGCTACTTTTCAATGTTTGTTATCTGAATTTACAATGTTTCTTCCGAAAAGAATGAGAAAGGTTTACTTGGCCTCAAAGACCGCCGCTCCCAGGGGCAGGGCTCACCCACAGGTCATCCCTGACATCTGCAGAATAAAATATAAAGGAAAAACAGTGGGGAAATATTTTTTTAAAGCTGGACCCCACAGAATTAACCTCCAACTGTCTGCCTCAACAAAGTTAAGCAAATCTTTCGGGTTTTTAGCATTTGTCTTTGAAAATACGTTTCTGTAATTTATTTCTGATTCAGGTGGGGCTGATTTTCTAAGCCACGAGGAGGAAGATCCCGGAGAAGCAAAAGGCTATGAGGCTTTTTCCGCTGCAGAGTCCCTTCACGCCAAGACGGGAGACCAACAGGAACAAGGGCAGGAGCTAGGCCAAGGTAGGGCAGGAGCTAGGCCAAGGTAGGGCAGGAGCTAGGCCAAGGTAGGGCAGGAGCTAGGCCAAGGTAGGGCAGGAGCTAGGCCAAGGTAGGGCAGTTTGCGGAACTAGGTCTTCAAGGTCGAGGGAGGAACAGCAAGCTGTCTTAAGGGCTCCTGTTGGATATTTGCTACAAAGAAAAATGCAAACACTCATCATAGCCACAAATAGCAAAATCAAGCAGCACAAATTATCTGAACATACACTGAATGTCCAGACTCACAGATGCTTGTATTACTGGAGACAGTACGAGGGGCAGTAACAGATGAAAATTCTACCGAAAGAGAAAAAAACATAGTAGGACCATAAAAAGCAAGATAAGGTGAAAAAACAGGACCAAAAGGAGATTTCAAGATGAGCTTGCTGATAGTCAAGGACAGGGTCTCAAGGCTGAGCTCCCAGGACTACACATGTCCACGGCGTAGGGTCAGACCCCCTTACGATGTCACTTCTTCCCCAGGATGTCACACACCTGGCACACTGCAGTCAGCCTAGACTGCACAGCAGGAAAAAACTGGATCCCCATTTCTGGAGTAACTTGGCCAGTCGTGTTTGTGCCTGACAGCCACTCTCTGACTGGCTCCCTGGCCGACACACCCGGAAACTACAGCAAAATCCAGCGGTGACACCCTGGATCGCAGAACCCTGGGAAGCCACACCACATGCTCTCGCTAAGCTGTCTCCTCATTCCCTGAAACACCATCAGGCTGACAGGCTCTCCCGTTCACCTTGACACTGAATCCATCCCCCAGGCTGAAGGCCCACTGGGAATCACATACATTTGCTCCTCCACCCTTGTCCCATAATCACACGGTTCAGCTAACATGACATAAATCAGAGAAATATTAAAGCCAAAAAGAAAGAACTGTTATTTCAACAACAGCCAAGCTATATTTTCAGAAAGCGTTGACAGAGACAGGTGCTCCAAGCAAAAGCAAAGCCAATACAGAATCTTTGAACCAGGGGGAAGACAGCTGCAGCACGGGGGGAGAACAAACATTTGGGACAAGTCTGCATTCAGATTGCTTTTATTCCTGCTCCCTCCTTGGGGGAAAACTCAATACTGGAAAACAGAGACAACGAACTGAGAGTGTGGTTTCTGCAGGAAAGACACACAATTTAAATTAGTGGACCCACCTCGTCAAAGGAAAGGAGATGGTAAGAGAGAACCAGATGGCAAAGTCAGAGGTGGCAGAATAAGCCTGCATTTGTGCTTTATGTAAAAACAAACAAACAAAAAAATCCTGCACCTATGTGCGCTTTGCAGAGATTCTCTGCTTTTACTGACCTCTGGGTCAGTTACCAGAGGTAACCCTGTGGGGCAGGAAGCCTTCTCCTGCTCCCCCTTTCCTGTGGGGAGATGTGAGGACAGCCAACCAGTGGTCGCCTCTACAGGAGGCTGCGGCCAGGGGCAGGAGAGAAACTTAATGTCACTTTACATCTTTTAGTACGATTAAGACATTTTACCATGTATGTAAATTGCTTATTTTTAAATACCTGTAATGTAACTTTTTAAACCAAAAAGACAAGTCAACTTCTAAGAAGAAATCAAAAGGGAAATTTACAGGCAGATGTGCTGCTGGAAACATGTTCACACAGGGGCCACGCCTCGGGAACAGACCTCCGTGTACAGCCCACGTAGGAGGGCACACAGGGCTATTAGCCTCAAGGGTCTGGAAGCCACAAAGGAACGGCCTTTAAGGTCCCTTCCAGCTGACTTCATGAAACGCTAGTTTGCAGCCCCATCAGTAATGCCTTGAGAAGGGAGGGCTGTCCACTGTCTTGAGACAGCCCCCTGCTGCCTGCCCTACCAGACAGCAAGTTCCCAGATCCACGTGCCTGCACCTGGCCCTCTCGGTCAACCCCACAAGTGTTTCTCAAGCACCTACTGTGTGCTGGGACCACTCTGGGCCCTATTCATAAACATCTTTAAAAACAAAAATTGATCTCTTCATGCCCTTGCTTATAAATCCTTGTCCATGTGCTACGTGCCTTCACAGGGTCCCATGCAAGGTCCCCTGGCTCCATCTCTGACCCCTTCTAAGCACATCTCTAATACTCTGGTCACACAGCTCTGTCCCTTGCAGCTGGCTCCGCCCTTACCTCTTCATTGTCATTAATGTCCTCTTTCAGGAAACTCCTCTGTGCCATTTACCTGCTTTCCCTTAACTCCCACCAAGGGGCACACTCCTACCAAAGCCCTTCGACCAGCCCAGCAAGGTACTGAAGCAGTTACCCTGGCCAGTCCCTGCCAGCAGAGAGGGAGCTCAGGTGCTGGCAGGGGAAACAAATGATAAAATAAGTAAGATCTGCACTGTGTCAGGCCGAGAGGAGAAAATAAGCAGGGAAGGGGCAAAAATTGTGTGGGTGGGCAGTGTAACAGGGGCTTGTCATTCCAGAGGGGGGCTCAGGAAGGCCTTGTGGAAGTGGCACTCCAGTCAACACCTGAAAAAGATGAGGCACAGGTAGGGAGGCTAGGGTGCAGTGGGGTTCGGTGGGGTACAGTGGGGAGGGAGAGTCAGGTGCAAGCCAGGGGTGTGCTGGAGGAACGGAGAGGAGGCCTGAGGGAGGGAGGGAAGGGGCTGGAGCCTGAGAGCAAGTGAGGAGGGGCCAGTAGAAGCAGGGAGGGCTTTGTCACTGGCCTGAGCAAGGGGAGAGCCCTGGGCAATCTCATTCTGAGATTTGTGAGAAGCAGAAAATCAATTTTCTTCTGGAAAGCAAACAAGCCCAACTCAAAGGGAAAAAAAAGGACGCCCCTGTACCTTAAAAGCACAAGTTCTAGCTGAATTCAACGCCGTGAGCTTCAACTCTGAGCCTACATAGGACACGACACACACACACCTGCCTTGTAACCTCACCATCTCGGGATCCCTGGGAAGGGTACCAGACTCAAGGCAGCCTCCGTGGGTTAGGGGCCTACGGAACCCGGGACTCTGGTCCGTCCTCTCAGGAGTATTTCTTAGCCAGTGACCTGTCCGTTAAGTGCATGGTAGACCAAGCTCCACACTCACCTGTCATACTTTTCTGGATACTATTACTTCCCTTTAGAAGTTTAGACCATTTTATTGCTCTTCTCGTGAGTATCACTAGATAGGTGGAAAAAAATTCTTCATAAGCTGCATAATCAAAATCTTCAGGCCTTTCAAACCCATATGGATCAATCCTACAATATAAAAAGAAAAACCCTGTAGCTCCAGAATAAAGTTCCACACGCCGGTGCGACCTGTGGCACAGACTGGCCAGACCCTGCCCGCGGCTTGTCCGCGGGGTCCTGCGGGTACCCGCCTGGAGGGACTGGGGCCCGTCCGGAGCCGTGACCAATCCGAGGGGCGCGCGCCCTGCACGCTCCGGAAGCGCAGAAAGGGACTGCGGGCCGACAGCGGTGGGGGTGCACCCCTGCCCAGGGAAGCGCAAGCGTCCGCATACCCAGCACGGCACGCACCTACTTCCCGCACCCCCAAATCTCTCACCGTCCCATCCCCGCATCTCCCAATTCCACACCACCACCCCGCACGCCCAGGCTGGGCGAGGGGCGTCCCGGCCCCTGCGCGCCCACCTGGGGACCCGGTCCCGCGCCGCCTGCCCGCGCTCCGCAGGCTCCATGCGGAGAAGGGGGATGGCGGCTCGGAGCTGCCCAGACCTCAGCGAGGTGGCGGTGCCTAGTTGGTCTCCCGGGGCTCCGGGCAGCTAGAGCCTTTCCAGTGCCGCGGGCTCCAGGAGGCGGTGCTGCGAGGTCCGGGTGGAGGGAGGTGGCGGCGGGAGGGGGGGGGGGAGGCACTCGGGTGGGGGAGGGGCGGTGCTGGGGGCGGGACTGGGGCAGAGGGAGGGGGAAGGGCGGTGCTGGAAAGGGGGGCAAGGGAGAAGGAGGCAGTGCTTGGGGAATGGGGAGGGGAGAGTGCGTGGTGTTGGAATCCGCAGGCCCGGGAGGAGGGAGGGAGGGGCGGTTGGGGCCTGCACCTGCTCCCGCGGTTCCTCCCGAGGGCGCAGTTGGAGGAGTGTGCTGGAGGCTGGGAGCGAGTGGTAGCCCTGCCCACCACTCCCTCCCCAGGCCTGAAGGGAGGAGGCACTGGGAGCTGGGGAATGGGGGGACCTGGTGCTGGGTGGGATTATGTTGGGTAGGAACGGGGGTTGTTGGGGACAAAGGGGACAGAATGAGGGCGACCTGGGGAATGTGATGAGGGGACGCGGGGCAGGAGGAGGTGGGTACCCAGCGGCGGGTGGAGGGCAGATGCCTCCGGGGTACGGGATGAGGGGGATGAGGGGGATGGGGAACCGGGGGCCGGGGCGCAGAAGAGCTGGCTGCACTGACTGGCGGCGCCTCCGCTCAACCTCCAGGCCTCGTAGGCCTTGAGTAAAGGTTGGAAGAGATGAACCCAGTTTGAATTCCTCCGAGATTCCTTCAAACCTCAGTGACCAGTAGGTCCAAAGGCCAGAGTTCTAATTCATGACCCCTTTTTAAATCTGCTTTATGCAGAAAAAGCAAGTCTTGTTATTTGTTTGTTTGCTTGAATTTGCTCTCCTTCAGCTTACAGGTCAGACCTGAGAACCTGTCCTGCCCCTTCCTGCCTCCCCAAACCGGATCTGTGGAGGAGGGGGGTCGGTTCCAGACCCTCCTGCCTCGTCGCCCCTTCCAACCCCACCTGCAGGGAGCCGGGCCTGGGAAAATTGCCCCTGCCACGAGCCACGGCTTCAGGAGAACTGGCTGGCCGTGTGGCTGTCACAGCGCAACAGACGAATGGCAGTGCCGAGCCCTGCAGGATTGCCATCTGGGGTGACCGGGTTAACAGCTCAGGCATCTGCACCAATCCCCGGACGGCAGAAGTGAGGGCTCCCTCCTCCGACTGCAGCTTCCCCGGTGCTTGTGCCCAGAATCCTGGGAGCATGAGTCAACTCCCAGTACTGTCCGCAAATGAACAGCACTGTGATCGCACAGCTTCATCCGCCTCGTTCTGCGGAGGGAAAGCACCACCAGACAAAAGCCGCTAGCAGCCGTTCCTCCCCTGACACTGCAGGGCTGCCCGGCTTCCGCGTTGTGGCTGCTTTGCTCCCTGCTCACCTTCACCCTGAGACTTCACTGTTATGGCTGCAAACCGTGCCTCAACTGCCCATCCCATCTGAGAGGCCGTGGAAAATTTGTTTTGAATTTTGCATCGGAGACGCGGTGAGATGAAAGGGGATTTAAGATAGTTAAATATTTGAGGTACTTTTGTAGCCTCAGTCCTCCCCATCCAAAGGGTCCTTTTGAAATTAATGGTCTTAGAACAGTATGCAATCGGGCAAACCAGAAAGACGCCTCTGCAAATGTCACATGACCACCTTCCTGTGCCAGGGACCCCGCTCCACCCTGGCCAGCCCACCTCTGAGGAAAAGTCCTTCTGGGATTCCAAATGTTCTTTCTCCAGAAAAGTACCCATAAGCCACTGCTATGTGTCATAGAAATAATGTTGCCAGCATTCCACTCCCCATCTGCCAGGGCTTTTATGAACCAGGCTGGGCGCTTAATATTAGTTTTTCAGGAATGTTCTATCAGAGGGCTAAACAAGGAAGCTGGAAAGTGATGTGTGGAACTCACCTGCCCCCCAAACTGGGGACATGGGTCTGCCCATTCCCATGCTTCCCCAAACCCTGAAAGACTGTAGGAACTTCAGTGCTTGAGGCAGCGCAACCCAAACGCCAGTTCTGCCAGCCTTCCGAGGGGCTTGCTCTGGGAGCATTCTTCAAGCTTTCAGCTCAGTTCATGGCATTTCGCTTTTGAAAGAGTGTCACTTCTTTTGAGGACCCCGAATCCATGCTCTGACCTTCTTGACACATTCTCAACAATGCTCCTTTTTCTGCAGGCTCAAGTCCACAGACAGGGTAGCACATGCTTACACACTGTTGTACCTCCGCTGGGCCTTACCAAGCAGAACAAGCACATAGCGACCTCCCCCAATCCCTTCAGACCCCCATCCTCTTGTTCTTCCCCTGGTCTGTTCCTTCAAATGACTCTCCTAACACCCCTCCCTCTCTGACCTCTCTCTGGGGTCCGAACCCATTTCCTACTTCCTGTCACTGTTTCTGCAAGCATGTCCCGGCTTCTCTTGCACTCAGCATCTTATGCCTCCAAACTGCTATTATTTCCACTCTGCCTGGCAGTCCTAACAGACACTTCTTGCTTCCTCAAGGCCCCTCTTTTCTGTAATCCCTCCCCTTCTCCTGAAGCATAGGAATCAGGGTTCCCTCCTCACTACCCTCCTACTCACTTCTTCACAAGAGCCTTGAAGAACAGCCCCGGGCCTGTTGTTTCAATGCCCTATGCCCTGCTGGGAAACGCAGACCACGGGATCCATGCCTTAAATTTGAGTGTGATGGCAGTACCCCAGACCTAGTCTATTTTGGAGCCAGATAAAACTAGAGTGTGAGGATTCTGTGCCAGGAGTAAGCTAGATAAGAGCGGGGCTGCCCTCCAGGAAGAGTGGAAGGGAAGATACAGAGAAAGAAAGGACCGGTGCCAAGGGCAGGCAAGGATGAGCGGCAGCCAGAAGGCGGTGGAGCTAGAAAGGCCTCCAGGAGGTCCAAGGGCTGCTGGAACCCTCTCCCCCAGCACACCCTCATCCCCTCCCCCACATCTGTCCCAGCTCCCTGCATCCTTGGTGTACCTCCGCTGCTTGCATGTGCGCAGTGCTGAGTGTCCTGGGCACCTTCCTGGCCCGGCTCCCTTTTGTCAGCTGGCAGTTGTGACAATCCATGGTGGACAGGTCATGTTGGAGAAAGGAAACCCAACTGTACACACAGCCCAGAGCGATCGTGCCGTCTGTGTGGAGGGTGACCAGCTCACTCCTGGTCTCCCCAGCACCTCTCTCCCAGGTGCTCTGGGTGAAGCTGTGTGGTGAACCGTTTTGCAGCACTAAATCCTCTGGGCAGCAAGGGGCCGGCCAGTTGGCAGTGTGAGAATTCCTGCACAGGGGACCCAGCTCCTTTGGGGAGGACATGCTGAACTGGCCTAGGACCTCCAGGGCCACCCACAGCCCAGTCTGGAGTCACCACCCAACAGATGCCCCTGGGCCTACAGGAATGGCGGTTCTAGTTACCTGATTATAAGAGCTCTTAGGGGTGTCCATCCCCCCAAGGCTAACAGACTATCTAAGTGACAGTCATAAAACTGCAGGTGGTGGAAGGACAAAGGTGACATCTGAACCTGCTGACCCACTGCAGATCACTACAGTGGCGGCACCAGACACCGGATGCTTCCAGGTGTGGGGCATAGGGTAGCCAGCGCGACGGGGGTCTCCTTGTGGTATCATTGGACCTGGGGGCCATGGAGCTTCCGCACAGGCTGTAGGGTTGCAGGACTTACAGGAAACAGGGAAGGGTGTCTCACCCAAATCACAGCAGTGCTGCGCAAATGCTGACTGGGGGACCCAGCTCCCCCCGGGACTCAGTGCACTGTGAACCCCGATGTGGCAGGGTGGGGGCGGGAGGTGCGCAGTCTGAGACTCTGCATTTCTCACAGCTCCCAGTGCTGGCCCAGGAGCCGTGGCCTGTTCAACACTGCGACCCGGTGTTCAACAGACAGCTGGGTGGGGAGACTGTTACCGGTGAAAAGAGGTTTCAGAGAGGTGACAACGAGATGCAACACATGCCCAAAAACCAAGAATGAAGGTCCTGCTGGCAACTGGGAGGGAATTCAATATGGACTGGAAAGTAGGCAAGATTAAGGAATTATGTATGAATGATACTGAGTGTGTTAATGATATTAAGATGATGTGGTTAAGCCCTGATTTGATATACAAGTATATGTTTGAGTGTGTGTATGTATTTTTTAATGGGAACTGTTGAACTTTCCAAACCCCATGACCTTGGAAAATAGTAAAAGTTAAAAAACAGCTCCCCCCCCCCCCCCCCCTTTGTGTTCAGGAAGGCGGCTCACTGCAGAGAAGCCCCTGTCCCATGTGATCTACGTGAGACTTTGCGAGCTCCCTGTTCACCAGGGCAAGCCCAACACAGCCCTCTGCGCCCCCTCCCTTGCCCCATCGGTGCTGATCTAGACTGTTGTCCCCACTGAGCTGTTGGAACAGTGTCCCTCCTCCCCTGCCAGCCTCACCTGAGCCAGCGGAGGCGCCTCCCAAGACCAGGTGGCTGGTGGGGAACCCGCTCCATCTGCTGTCTCAGCTCAGACTCCACGCTGGCTCTTTCTCACCTGGCTTACTCCTTTCCGTTACATGCACACACACAAGGCACCTCTTTAGGCACAGCTCTTCAGAAGGTTCTAGACCGATTGGTCAGAGTTCTCACTATGGCAATAGTGCCCCACACATTTGTAGCCATCCTTTGATTGAGCTACTAAGTCTGCGTTTTGTTTTTGTTTGACAAATAGGAGCGTCTGTGGGTGAAATGACATGAAGTCTAGAGACGGATTTAAACACACTCTAGCTAGGGAAAAGGAGAGGGTAGATGGGAAAAGGCAAAATCATTGAAGATGAGCATTAAGTACATGAAGGGATCTTTGTGTCTTTGAAAATCCCATAATAATTTATTTAAACAGTAAAGGAGGGATGCCCCTCCTGGGCGCAGAACAGGACAGCAGGCAGCTGGAGGTCCTTGGAGCCGACCCTCTTGCTTTGAGTCCAAGCCTTGACTTTGACCCCCAGCCAAAGGAATTGGGGTGGGGGACAAAAAATGACCAAGGCGGGGATATTATGAGGTTTTCAACGACCCCACAAAATGCCCACATCTTCCAGCGGGGGCTGGACACCTGCCTCTAGCAAACACAGGCGGCTTTGTTCTGAGGGCACATTTCCCTTCCGTCCCTCCTGCCCTTTGCTCTGCCCTGTGGGGCAGGTCCAGGGCAGAACGACAGAGTGAAATAAATGTGCTAGGACCCCAGGCAACAACCAGAACCGCCCAACGAACACCGGGCCCCAGGGTCACCCTCCTTGGGCCTCCTCAAGGCTGCAGTGAGTAAGAGCCTGGGTCCTGGAGGCGGCAGGTTCAAGTCTCAGCTCATGGCTTCTGGGCGTGGGACCCTGGCTGAGTCATGTCACCTTGGAGACTTCGCAGGGTCTAGTGTGTGGAACGCACTCAGTGAATGCTTGGTATTTTGTTGTCCCTGTTCCCGACCTTCCAAACTCGGGTGCTTCACGTGCATTTTTATCTGAGAGAAGATTCCGGCTCAGAAGGCCCCACATGCCCCACGTGACCTGCAGGAAATCACCTTAGAGTCTTCCGTGAAGATCTTTAAAGAAGAAAAACAGGTTTGGGGGGATGGCAGGTCCAAAGTCTTCTTGCTCTGCTGTGCCCAGGTAATCTGCCTCCTGCAAACGAGAGGCAGGGCTATAAAGCAAGTGGACTGATTTCGAGTATAGTTTCTAAACCAGACTCACGGTTTGTTTCGCCCCCTCATCCTTTCAATACAGACTCCGATGTAAGGTGTTCTGTGGGCTCCGGGCATTACAGGAAGCTTTTAATTTGGTTCCTGAGACGATTTCACAAAAGTAGCACTTAGAAGCAAGATTTATTTTTATAAAATAAAATAAAATGGGCATTCTAAAGATTTTATTTATTTACTTTTAGAGACAGGGGAGAGAAACATTAATCAACTGCCTCTCACAGGCACCCTGACCTGGGACCAAATCGGCAACCCAAGCAGGTGCCCTGCCTAGGCTTCGAACCTACGACCTTTCACCTTGCAGGATGACACCCAACCAACGGAGCCACGCTAGTCAGGGCAATAAAATGAACATTTTAAAGAAAAACATTGTGATGCATCATATTGTGTAACAACCCCAACAGAGTTTGGTACAAGATACTACCAGTCGGGACAGGGAGCAGGTACTCCTCTCAGGGCAGGTGAAGGAAGCCCCGCCCAGGAAGTGCTGTCTGTCAGGTCTTGATGGACTGTGGGGGTCTGCACTGCAGACACCTGGGAAGTAGGCCTGTACCTCCACCTGCGCCCCTGACAGACAGGTCCCGGGAAAGGCAGAGGGACACGTGGCAGGGACAGGTACTGCACTCTGCAGACACTGTGGCGGCCCCCCCTTTCATCAGAGAACCCCCAGGCTTTATTACTCAGCTCAGGCCACTGGAACACAGTGCCACAGCCTGGGTGGCTTGGACAACAGGCATTCACTGTCTCGCAGTCCTGGGGACAGGAAGTCCGGAATCAAGGTGTCGACGGGGCTGGTTTCTCCTCAGGCCTCTGTGCTTGGCACACAGACGGCCATGTCTTCCTGTGTCCTCACAGGGTCTCTCTTCTGTGCTGCCTCTGTCCAACCACCTTTTCTTAGAAGGACACCAGTCACATGGAATAGGACCTGTCCCAACGACCGACCTCATTTTAACCAAATCACCCCTTGAAAGACCCTACCTCAGCCCTGGCTGGTGCAGCTCAGTGGCTTGAGCGTGGGCCTGTGAACCACACAATCGAGGTTCGATTCCCAGTCAGGGCACATGCCTGGGTTACAGGCCAGTTCCCAGCAGGGGACTCACAAGAGGCAACCATACATTGATATTTCTCTCCCTCTCTCTTTCCCTTCCACTCTAAAGATAAATAAATTAAATTTAAAAAAAAAGACCCTACCTCCAAGTGTGGTCACGTTAAAAAATGGTTCTATTGTTGAAAAATAACAATGCTCTTAACTTTGAGACTTAAATAATATAAAGAAAAAATGTCTCAGATTCATGACATGAAAGTTTCACACCCACTTCACTTCAGTCTGAGAGGGGCGTTCTCTCTGTTAGCTGGCGGTCCTTCCCTGGGGGCGTGACCTAGATTGCTTTAAATAAGAATGAAGGGATCTTTTTTCTACAGAATTTTTGTGTCAGAGGCCATTAGTCAGGAAACGCAATAATGTCCTTCCTCGGCTTTTTGCTTTTGACGTTTTCTAACAGTCTGAGCACCAACTTGCCTCTCTGTCCCCCCGGAAAAGTTAGTGGTCAGCGCGCCTTCTTCCTTGGATGCGAAGGAGGTCTCCCTCTGCTGCTTAGACCCGGATTTCAGGTTAAGAGGTCCTGGGACTTAGTTCACAGCAGTGAGACACAAGGCTCTTTGAGGCCAGTTCAGGAATGTTTTGAATACACAAAGGTACTATCGGCTATCTAGACTAGGAACCCAATCTTTACTTAAAATATTTATTTATTTATTTATTTTTAGAGAGAGGCGAAGGGAGGGAGAAAGACAGGGAGAGAGACATCAATGTGTGGTTGTCTCTTGCACGCCCCCTACTGGGGACCTGGCCTGCAACCTGGACGCATGTCCTGACTGGAAATCACACTGGCCACCCTTTGCCTCGCTCAATCCACTGAGTCATACCTGCCAGCGCAGAACCCAATCTTTAGAATATTAATTTTTAAATAAATGTTTGAAACTGGAATTAGAGTCATACCACAATTGTGTTCAAATACAATAGCACAAACTTTTTAAAAGATTTTATTTATTTATATTTAGAGAGGGGAAGGGAGGGAGAAAAAGGGAGAGAAACATCAAGGTACGATCAGTTGTCTCTTGCACGCCCCCAGCTGGGGACCTGACCCACAACCCAGGTCTGTGCCCTGACCAGCAATCAGAACAGTGACCCTTTGGTTCACAGGCCTGCCAGAGCAAGAACACAAACTTCTAAGGGATTTCTTTGTTCAGTCAGTTGGTCAAACAAATTTAGTCGAGGACAGTGTAATTACTGTCAGGGTAAATGCGAATCTAAACAATAAATTTTAATTAAAAAATTTTCCCAGTGTCAAGGGGGAGCGACAGTTTCCACCTCCTCATCAACGGTTTCTAGAGAAAACTCAACACCATTCGCACTCTCGCCCTCTTTGAGATGCATGTATAATTGTCTAAAAGCGGAAGCAGCCCTCCATCAGTTTGCGTCTCTGGGTGTCATTCTTGGGCGTGCAGTCCTGTCTTTGAAATGTGAACATGGAAGAGGGTGCCCCTGTCTGGGGAACCTTAACCCAGGAGCTCGTCTGCACGATGAACTTCCTCTTGTCGGAAAGACAGGCGTTTCATTTCTCCTTTGGATGAAGTCAACCGACATGGATGTTGTGGGTGATACCGGCCTGACCACACAAAAGGGTGAGGGTTTTTCTGTCCTCAGCACCTCTGAGCGTGCTGCCTGTGATGAGCACCCCGTTCTGGCTTTGTGCTCACTCCATAATACAACTGTCTCTTCTCTCCCACCTTGTGGAGAGTTTTCCTGGGCCAGAAGATTTGATTGTTACTTTTGTTGTTAGGCTGAGGGGCAGGCATGGGATTCTTTAAACTTCCCTGACGCCGCTCTGGGAAGCACAGACTCACACCATCCCGGAGGACGATGCTTCTGTTTAGATCTGAAAGTGCTGAGTCCACTTTCCTTCCTGAAGAAAGTGCTGACGCCCAGACCTTTACCTCCAGCTCCTACCCCTTTCTGAGCTCTAGTCCTGTGTTTTCAACAACCAAACAGACATTTCCACCAAGATGCCCTGGGGATGCCTCCCACTCAACCGATGAACTGAGCTCATCCCTCGGCAAACACGGTGCTCCTGTCCCAGCTCCAACCTGGCATTTGGGTACCACCAGTGAATGTATCCGCCCAGGCCAAGACCGTGGGGGTCACTCCTCAAAAATGCATCATCGCAAAGTTATCGACGTTCACTGAAAGTCCCTGAAATTATACAGAACTGAAGCAAAAAGAAAAGGTAATCCTCACTACCATTTCCCAGGGGCCTCTGGTAGGTAGAGTTTTGTGTTTTCTTCCAGACTTTGTATCCTTGCAAGGAATAGAACGGCACAGACATGCACACACGTAAAGGAAGACACACATACACACGCGTACTCCCAGACACACACACTGCACGCACGTGCAGTCTTGTTACTGGGCTCTCATTCTGCAGAGTTGGAGGCTTCCTTGCATCCTCAGCCCACATTCACTCAGTAGCCAAACCCTATCCTTTCTACCACCTGTAAGACCAAGAACAAATGTCGTTGGATGAATTCTATCCAGTACACCCAAATTAAAAGTCAAAATTAATTATATCATGCTAAGTAAAAGAGCCCAACCCAAAAGAGCATATAGGGTATAATTGATTTGTACGATGTTCAGAAACTAGGAATCTAATCTGCAGTGATTGAAATGGCGCAGTGGCTGTCAAGGGGCTTGGAGACCGATGTGAAAGGGAAGGGGGGCTTTCTGCTGTGAGGGAAATGTGCCCACCTCTATGTGTTATATGAGTCAGAGCCCATTAAACTGTACACATGAGCTCTGGGCATTTAACTGCACATAAATTTCATCTCAGTTTTTGAAATATGAAAACCTAAACTGGGGTGCCTTATCAGTAGACCTGCATCTATGTGGAAGAATAACAGGCCAAGCCCTGGGCGGGGTGGCTCAGAGCAGGGAGCGCCGGCCTGCGAACCGAAAGGTCCCTGGTTCTTTCCCTTGGTCAGGGCACGTGTTGGGGGCCAGGTTGCAGGTTGGGGGGTGCAAGAGGCAACCGACCGATGTTTTCCTCTCTTCCTCTCATCCTTCCTGTAACTCTAAAGATAAACAAATAAAAACTAAAAAAATTAACGGGCCAAGCAGAGCTAGCATAATACTGAAGAAGAACCAAATGAAAGAAAGCAGCCCAGTCAGACGGGAAGATTTGTAATAATTACGTTATAATGCTCCAGGCAGTGTGGTTTTTCCATGAGGATGGACAGGCTGACCAACTGAATTTGTCTCCTGCTGCTGCCCTAACCCGGCACCACAGACCGGGTGGCCTAAACAACACAAATCCATTTGCTCACAGTTCGGGAAGCTGGAGGTCCACAGCTGAGGTGCCGGCAGCGTTGTGCTCCTTCTGAAACCTGTTGGGGAAGGTTCTCCCTGCCTCTTCCTGCTTCCAACGGCCATTGGCAATCCTCGGAATTCCTCGGCTTGTGGGTGCATCGCTCCAACCTCTTCCTGTGTGGCCACACAGACTTCTTCCCTTCGCATGGCGCTTCTTATGAGGGCACCGGTCCTTGGATTTGGGGCCTACCCCGATCCAGTCTTAACTAACTCAGTTAACTTAATTTAACTAACTTAACTAAGATGACTCCATCTTAACTAAGTCAGTCTGCAAAGACCTTATTTCCAAATAATGTCACCATACGAGGCTTCAGGAGGACATGGGTTGCAGGGACTCGGTTCAATTCAGTACACTGAGCGGACCAAATACAGACCCAGGACTATATGAAAACCTGATCGATAACAGAAAGTAGAGGTTGGTGGGAAAAGGAAGAATGTGTTGTTGGAACAACTGGTTGTGAGGTGGGGGGAGAGAGAAAGAGAGAGAGAGAGAGACTGTGTTCTGAGCGCTCAGCACTGGGTCAGCCAGTTGCTTTGTGTTGTTGACCAAGCTGGTCGCACAGGCGAGCATGCTGCACGGTAGCTTTCTCTGGAGCCACAGGACAAGAGCTTCTTTTTGAAGAAGAGAAAGCTGCCCCATCTATCGGGGCAGTACATCTACCTCATCCAAGGTTCTTTGGTTTCTGTGAATGGGCCATCCACAAATATTTATGACCAGAGAACCGTTTACATCAGTTAGAATCCAGCTTCCACAGCAAAGGGCCTCCCCGTGATCTCATACAGTGAACGGCTGTGTCTTGCTCACATAATAATCCAACGTGTCTGACGGGCAGTGTTCCTCCTGTGGCTCTGCTGTCCCCTGAAGCTTTTGGGTGGAGCACGGGGAAAGTGCCTTCTAACCATGTCACCATTTCATCC